CCGCTTTAGGCATTTTCCGCTCACACGCTACGTTACTTTACGTCATGTGTCCCATTAGGCTCTACAGCTGAGTGAGCCTCAGAAAAGAAAGGTAGTGTAGAGGCACATTTCACAACTACAGCCTCCTCTGCATGGCAGTTTTACCATATTCTTTAAATAACCCACTGCTGGTGATCTTACTGTGAAAGATAAGTGGCCAAATTAACGAAACGGAAAAGCATGAGCCTTTCCACATGCCTTACAGTGAAGTTTTCAGTGACTTGTGTGCGGGGAATAGAGAACCACATCCTGTCTGCTGGGTGTCACTGCCACAGAGAGGCTTATAAGCGTCGGACCACTGAGTGTTAAGAAGACCAGAAAAAGAAGCTTGCTGGAGAGCTAAGTTTAAAGAGCACAGAGACTGCGTGACATCAGTGGTGGTGTAAGGTAGCCCACTACTCTTCTGCATGTGTTTGCCTACTGTATTCATACACGTGCGTGGATTCCCGGAAAGTCAAGGGGTGGCATTATTGCAGTGGGCACCTCTTACGCCAGAGCTGACCCCCACAGAAAGTAATTAATCAATGTCCAAGACTTTCACATTTAAATCCCCAAGAATATACAATTGTTCATCTTTCAATGGAGCATTCAGATGCATATTTTAAAAACCATGAATATGGTTTCAAATAGGGGGGCATTGTTATTTTATGGTTTTCTTTCTGACCGGGGTTTTTGTTTTGAGGCAATAAAGAGGAGTCTTTTAAAATGTAATTTTTAGCCCTTGACCTGACAAATATGCTTCAAAGCTAATGAGCTGTTATGATATTGTAAATGCTGTTCAATTTTGACCAGGCTGTTTAACACAGGATGTAAAATGACAACACACAGTCAGTTTTGTAGATCTGGCGTTCTCAAATGTATGTTCGAAGGATCAAATAATTATTGCTTTTTAGATGAACCAATAATCTGGTTTATCAAGACTATTGATAAAGCAATAGTTCAACTATGTGACCAACAACACATCAACACTAATGATGTGTTGTTGAATGTAAAGAACGAACATGTAATGACTACAATTCTCCTTGCTAAACACAAAGCATGATGCTTTGTCCTCTCATGTTTCATTGGGAGGACAGTGTGTTCAGAATGATATGTTAGTTTTCTGCCACATTGTGTTTTGGATTCTAGAAATATATTGTATATTGTGGTTTGATCAGAGGAACTTCTTCCACATGTTTTCTGTGACCCCTATGGCTTGTGACAAACTTCAAGCAGGACTTCTCATTACTTTTTCTTTCAACAACAAGCTTCTCTTGTCCCAGTCTTCCATAAAGATCAGATTTGTGGAGTGCCCAACTCATAGTTATCTTGTTGACACGTTCACTAAGCGGTGGATCTCTGGAGCACCTCTAGAGTTACCATGCGCCGCTTGGCTGCTTCTTTGTTTATTGTCTCCCTTGCACCACCTGTCTGATTAGGTAGATTCTCGTGGCTTTATAGGTTAGCAGTTGCGCCACACACTTTTAATGCTCTGATGGGATGTCCAGGCATTGGGATACTGTTTTGTAACAGTGTCCTACAAATTATCAAGCATATACACTAACGGAATGCTATGTGGTTGGCTTTTAAGCAATGAAATATTTACTTTCTTATTTAAAAATGAATTGTTTGTTTATTTGAATCTTTTGATGTATTCTCAATGTTGGATAAAATAAGCGTAAATGAAAACTGGTTAAATGAAAAATCTGTGAAAATGTGTTGGTTTCTTAAACTGATTGATTAAACTTTGGAATAAGGGATAAAATATTTTATTATAATTGTTAGTTGCGTCCCTAATGATACTACTAAAATATTTACGATGGCTTTCCTCAATTTATTTTCTTCTTAAAAATAAACATTACGTACTTATTCAAAAGTACTGGAAAGTAAATTTTTTAAAGCAAGTAGAATTTTAGGAAATCCTCTGGGTTTTTTTCCAGATTTCAAGCATTTTTTTTTTCTGTTTGTATTTTTCCAAGCCCAAAGGTGACAAGAGTCCAACTAAAACAATTTTTACAATCAGATTGTACCTTTGAGGTCTTGTTCAGACATCACGCACTCTACAGCTTGTTTTACTGTGCAAACATGTTGAAGTTCTGTGGAGTAAAGAAATCAATTTGTTCAGGATGTAAGATTTAGTTTCTCCTGTGTGCGTGTGTGTGTGTGTGTGTGTGTGTGTGTGTGTGTGTGTGTGTGTGTGTGTGTGTGTGTGTCTGTGTTTCAGGGCATCACAGTATTCAGTCTCAGATGACCAAATATGACGCTATAGATTGTGTCATTGCACATTCAAAAACAACCAGCAAAACACCAAAGTTCCATCCATAAATCAATAACTTTATCTACAAAGACTCTGCATACTCATCCTTTTTGTGATCATATCTGTCTTGCACAGCGCTGCCGATCAATTTTGTCCCTCTTTTTTTTTATTTTTTTATAAACAAATAAATATCTATATACCAGCGTACACTAGCTTATTTAGAGTTGTACGTGATTATTTATGCACAACTTTATCAAAGTCCAGACAAGAAAGTGATGTCTGGACTTTGGTTTGTCACAGCTGCTTGATTCTTTTCTTTTTTTATTACACATCCTGATTTGCTGCCACGGTTAAGATCGCTGTCCTGTTGCATGATCCAATTGAAGCCCCCCCTTCAGCTGTTGGACAAATGGTCTTATGTTTTAATCTAGAAATACTTTCGAATACAGACAGAAAAGTTTGTGATGGACTTAATGACCTCGAGGTGCCCAGCAGCACACCTCTTGTGGAAGCAGCAGCTAAGGAAATTCACCTACGTAGGTTGATCGCAATTTCACTTTTTTCATTTTTTATTGTATCATTAAAATATGGGTTGAAATTATTTTACCAATAGTAGATCTAATAGGTTTAATCACTCTCTCCTTTCTGAAACTAGGCACACTCAAAGAACAAAAACCTGCATAAAGTACAAAGAGGTCGCATGTGCTGCATACCAATTAGTCTGGGGGAGTTTTTCCTTTGCGTCATATCGTTGTATGAGTTTAGCAGTGGGACTAAGGCCATTACACAGGCTTGTTCTACATGATTAGTGGAGGTGTTAGTAAATATAATACATCTAGATCCATCGGTCGTGGAGGCAATACATCAGGACTTCTTTGGAAACAATAAATCCAATAATTTTGTGTGAAATTGATCAGCCTTTTCCCTATCACATTATCAAATTTTTTGCGTTCTTCTTTCCTTCATTCATGTTTTACTTCTTTCCTTCCTTCCTTCCTTTCTTTCTTCTTTCAACATGTCATCGAGTCACCCCTGTGCAAAACTGAACAAATATTCTTTGTTTGCAACCAGACACAGCCTATGCTCTCTGGAAGAAATGCGGATTGTGTTTTTTTCCACTGTTGCAATAGTTTAGAGTTCAAAGTGATGTGGGAGTCTTTTACACCTCATAACACAGTACCTCATTTGGTGAAATGTCAACACGGACCCCTCACACCAGATGTTCAGCACAGTAATGATGGCGTGATGATCTGGGATCGTATTGCAGACAAATGACTCGGCATCTTGCTTGAACGCCCAACTCAAACACTTGTAAGGTGTTAGTTTGTCCGACAGCTACAGGTAGTCGTGACCGATCACACATTAAAACCCTTGGTTTTGTAGAAGGTGCGCTTTCTTTATGCCGTGACTGTAACATGATTCGGTCCAACTGAGTCATCAGCATTAGCATAGTGGCTCCAAGCGCAGAAAGAAACTACAGCGGAGTGGCTTGAAGTTGAAAATGTGCCACAGTGACTTCATCAAAGTTCACATTGTATCAAAATCTGATACTGTGGGAAATAAATTCGGGCTACAATGGGTTTTGTCTTCTTGTACCTTTTAGCATATTGCAGTCTGTTTTTAGGGTGAACTTGCTTTGATGGCCCAAACTTGATATGTTGGCATTTGTTTTGAATGTCCTCCACTTGTGCACTTTTTTTTTTCCACTCAGTAAAATGGCTGGTTTCAAATTCTTCTGAGAATCCTTTGAGTTCCTTATTAGATTTATAGGCTGCTGCATTCTCCGGAAGACTGAATGAGATTGCCATTCAGTCTTTCTTCAAAAGCTCAAAATACACTAGACTAAATGTTTGAGGTTTAAACAGGACTGACCCCCTTTAAAGTGCAGAGTAATGATATTCTGATGAGATACAACTGATGTTGTGGGATTTGTTTTTAGGCATTTTTAGGAGGAATAAATGTGAAGGTGTCTTAGTTTTCTTGTATTTTTAATTACATTTTATAGAGCCAAATCCTAGGTTTAAATTAATACTTCTCTTAAACTTATTATTAGAAATGTATAAAGGTAGAAAAACACACTATAATTCTGACATGACTGACCTATTTACATTTTTTTTAGATTTATTTTTTTATAGCTATCTACTTCCCAAGATAAAACCTTTCAAACAGCAAATAAAATATTTCAGAGAATACATATTCTAATGGAAACTAGGATGCACCTACTGTATCTATTCCACCATTAGATGTCACTCTTTCTGTTGAATTTATCTTAAAATCATAACAACCCTAAATCATTTCGATTTAGGGTTGGTTTCACGTTCACCCTTGAGAATGCTGTGCTGGCATTAAGTGTGTCTGCCTCTAGATGATGTGTTCAGTGTTCCTGTGGCTAGAGATCAACATCAAAATAGCAAAAATGAACTAGTTGCTCCTATTTTAGAAAAATGCTCTTATGACCCACTCATGTGGGAATCTTTGTTGCATACAGGAAGCAGGTAGACAGCGGTTCTTTAGATTATTAGAACTTGTTGAAAGACACACCTAACCTTGATGCCTTGGCTGGGATTGTATAAGTCAAAGTCATAAGAACGAAGACATTTGGAGTCTCATGAATTCACAGCAATCTGTCCGTTTTCAATTCACTGCAGACTGCAGGGAACACCGACCCCACACGTATGCCTGTTTCTATTTATCTTTGTTGGGGGGGCGACTCTTCATTTATGACCTGAATACCTCAGCGGCTAAGGACTTGTATGTCCTCCAAATGTGAATGTGTGCCCTTCGTCTGATAGCGTGCGCGCGTGCGTGTGTGTGTGTTTATAAGCTGTTGGCTGGGTGAATGAAATATTCATGGAGGCATGGTGGGATTGGCTGCCGTGCATGGAGCAGGGTTGACGGGGTAGAGCATAGCACAGCACTGTGTGTTCTGAAGCAGCTCGCCTTCCCTTTTGTATAAAGAGATGAGCAGAGGAAGAGAGAACAGACGAGTGTGACAGTGTCGCTGTTCACGCTCGGCTCACAGGCGTCCCTCATACAGCGCACACAACCGCCATAGAGAAGGAACTGTGTTACGCCTCTCCTGCTCCTGCTTTGCGGATGTTTTGGTCTAAATGGATGAGCAGAGCAAAGAGGAACATGTGCTCACGGTACGTCTCCTCCTCAATATTTGTGTTGTGTCCTCAGCATCCGTGTTCTGCACTTGGAGAAGAATCCACAGGCTCTAGGTGCGCTGTACCGCTTGTGCGTTTGTATTGATTTGTCGGCTTGTGGTCGTCTTCTGTTATGTGCTAATGAATGGGGGCTCTGTGGTTACTAAATTTGACCAGAATGAAAGAAAATATTATGTGGGGAAAGAAGAGGTGATAGCTCTTGAAACTGAATGCTTTTTTTTTTTTTTTTATGTGCCCCTTTATTGGTCCAAAGCAACACGAACGAGAAAAAGCTATCAGAGACAATTATGGCTGCTTGAAGGAACGGGACAAGCAAACTGGGAAGGAAGCAGGGGGAAGAAAAAAAAAAAAGCTGCGAGAAAATGGGTCTGTCAAGGTAACAGAATCAAAACATGAAGCTTGCTATCTGTAGCAATGATGTCCATTAACTGAGGGAAGAATAACTGAACAATTAAAAACTGATAAGCTCAAAATTGGAGCATTGGGCTTAAAGGAAAGATCCTATTTAAATACAGAGAGAGGTAAATACAGAGACTCTTTTTCCCCATTCAGAATTGCTGACATGAAGTAATCCCAGCTCTTCAATCAGATAATTAAACCACAGATCTCTGGAGACGTTATGTAGTGGAGGCTAGTGTGAATGTGTTTGTGTCACACTCAAAGGTGATGGGTCTCTATAGGAGTTAAATCATTTAGGGGCTAATCAGCAATGCATAGCTACCTTATAAGTTCTATCTTTGTGTTTGTGGCATTTTTACAAAACCTCCTGAATACCATCAGATCCTTGGGTTTGGGAGAAACTGAACTGTGCAAAAATATTTGCCCTTTTGTAAAGCTGTTCTCGCTTTTTCCACATATAATGTGTTGGGTCATCAAACAGACCTGAGTGAAAATATAACAATGATTTCATTTATTAAGGAAAATGTTGTTCAAAAGAATATGACCCATTCAAGAAAGTAATAACCCCCCCAAACTCGTCCTTTTCCTCATCCTCAGCCCTTTTTGCTTAGACTTTTCCTCACGATCGGTGGCCTTAATGAGGCCAGTGAGGCATGTAGTACTTTAGATGTTCTTTTGAGTTCCCTTGTGACCTTCTGGATAAGTCGGTAATGTATCCTGCAATAATTTTGGTTAGCTGGCCACTGCTGGAAAGGTCACCACTGTTCCAGGTTAACTCCCTTTCTGGATATTGGGTCTCAATGTGGATCACTGGAGTCACATAGCTTGATAGTTTTGGATTGTGGCATCCCATACTGTCATATAATTGGGTCATTAAAACAGTTTTTTGTTTATACTTTTGTTATCTTTGTATTAAAATTGGTGTTATGATGGGAACCACGTAAGTGAAACCAAATGCAAAAAAGTGAAATATGTAGGAGGGTAAATACCTTTTTTTTCATGTTGTCCTGCACTTAGATCTGGTGCATTTTTTTTTTCTATAGGTTGATGGTTGGTCATGGCCGGTCAAGCTAAAAATCATCTGTTTTTTTTGTCACAGCCTTGGTGCATCTCTATTCAAACACGCTATGGTAATAATTAGCTCTAAAAATGCTTACCCTGGCTATAATATCATTGTTAACCAATGTATTTCACTTTTAGTCATTTATCTGTATCTACTTTTCAGACACAATCTTTTAATTTGACATCATTGGCTTCAAATAATTGCAATTATTCTCATTTGCAAAGAAAATAGTGCATTTGGCAGCCATTTGAGCTTTGACTGAAATTTTAAAAGACTGGTCTCTCCCACTATGCAGCACATCTGTTACAATACTCCCTGTTGATTGGATCAGTTCCCAGTTACTGCAAGGCTGGCAAAGAGGGAATCGGTCGTGTTGGCATGTTGTGTGGCTTGTTGCTCATTTCACTGCTTGCTTGGCAGCTATGTGAATATTTCTCTGCCCATGCAAACACGTTAGCAACCTGGCTCTTAGAAAAAGTTCATTTTTATAGCTAATTTGCTCAACACTGGTCTTGCTTCTTTAGGTGTGAAATTTAAATGGTGCTCGTTTTAATCACAGTATGTACATTCTTTGCATTCTTGTTGCTATCACAGTTGTTTGCCACGTAATGCTTTTACTATAGTGGTATTACGCTGCACTATCTGGCTTCAATAACTTTCCTCCAGGCTGAACCTGTTAGTGCTTGAAAACATCCCAGCGCACACTGTAAAAATGCAAATTAAAGTTCCAGAACCTCACAGTGTGGGGCTGCAATATTTGAGGAAAGTGATGTCTTGACCACAGCTGGGTTTTACGGCAAACCAGCTGTTGAAGACTAAAACATTTGAAAATGCTGGAGCAAGTGAGAGGCTTTGAATTAGGACAGAATCAGACTAAATTAACTAAACCTGGAGATAATTCAAAGAAAACTACTGGTGCATCCTTAGTCCTATGGGAATCAAGGGTCTTTCTCTTAGTGCCACTTCCAAACAAGTCATCCTTATTTCTCTAATCTTACTGTTACAAACTTTAGCACAGCAGTCTGGGCCAGACCATTGAGGCTGCACACAGGTGGCTTCAGAGGGACGTCGAAAATACAGCTCTGTTATTTTCTATGAGGCAACCCTCACTGGCAACATCTGGTTGCCGGCTGATGTTCCAAGCCCAGTGGTCCTTTTCACACCTGTTTGATTAAGGAGGGTCAGTGGCTCTATATGGAATATAAATAAAACCGTGACTACATTCTGGCTCGTCTAGCTGCTCTTATTTTGTGCTGCGCTGTTCTATCTTTTAAAAGAACAATGCAGTTTGTTGGTTGTTGTATTGTTCATAGATTTGACTGAGTGTTAACGTTGTAAAGACAATTGCAAATTAAATGCATTTTTAATTGGTTAATTTTCAGTACTTGTCCTGTTCCTTCAAGTTATTTCAGTGATCAAGTGGGATTTTTCATCATTAATAGAAGGGTACCATCAATTTTCTCTATGTTTGTATAATTTATAGTCACATTTTGAACATAGATTTTTATGCTTAGTTTGCTAAGGAATGTAAGCATAATGTAAACCAATTAGTATGATCATAATGCTGCCCCCGTTTTCCTTTATCTGTTGTAGTGTTTTATGAATTGTTTTTTTTCTTTCCTGACAAGTAATCGACTCCTGTTTACCGTTTAATGATCATGTGATCTGTAAATACTTTATGTCTAAAGCCTTACACATTGGTTGTTTGAGCCCATAAGCTGACAAAATCCTCATCCACTGTAACAGCAGGATTAGCCATCTACTGTTTGGGCATATAGTGTGGAAAAAGTTAATAGATTAAATATGTTTTGCTTTTATTTGCACACCATGTATTGCCTATCCTGACTTCTGAAGCACACATTATAGCAGTCTGTTTTTATTAGCGAACTTATTAATTATTGAGTGGGGCTTTTGAACAGACCTTTCCACTAAAATGAAACAGCAGCATGAAAGGCCAAATTCATGTTGTTTGCCTTCTAAAACTGAAGTAGATTGATCTATTTTCATGATTTTGTTGGTATTACATTGATGGGTTTGTGAAATATAAAAATATTTATTAGTGGTGGGACTAAAATGGCGTTATGTTCCAAAGTGCATTTTCAAACTCAAGTCTAGCTTCTTTACGTTCGTCTTGATATTTTATCTTTCAAATTATTAAAAGGCATATTAATCTTGGTATGTCTACATTTCTGATTTAGAGGAACGTTAGAGATTAAAATCCCACATTCAGCAAATAAAAGTACATTTCTCAATCCTAGCTGAAGTTTTGTCTGATTTAATATTTGTCTGTAGGAAAACAGGTGGCATTGCTTTTTATATAGTATATCGATTGTGTTATGGATCCAAAATTACCAGTAAGATAAAAAAAGCATATATTCTATGAATGCACTCAATTGTTAACAAAAGGCCAGACTATTTCATGCTGCAGTTCCACACGTCTATGCTCTGTCTACAGGCCTGCATACATGCTGGCTTTTCTTACTCAGTTGGCAGTTCCTGCCTCCTACTTGCCTCCCCCAGTGACGTTAGCCATTTAGGCCCTCAAAGCCACAGCTGTGGTCGAGGAAAACAGAAGCGATCTCACTGTCCTCAACCTTTTGCCTCAGGGACTGCGGCAGATAGACCGGGGTTTATTTTTGACAAAGCTATGTGACAGGTTTCATCACGTGTTCTCGGATTGTTCCAAGAAACGTGGGGTTGAGGGCAACACGCACTCTAACAAGTGCTTATAGCTTGCAAAGCTGCCATGAGACGACGTGCACGTAAACAGTGATTCTTGATTCCTGACAAATAGCTGCTGTAAAACACATATTTTCTGGATGAGTGTTTTAAGAAGCACAGTGGTAAAGTAAGCAGCTATTTCGTCAGAAGTAGTTTCACACAAGCTAAATGCCTTGCCTGTAAACATGGGCTTATGTGATTTCTGCTAAAATTAAACATAAAGTGTACACCAAATTCTGTGTTAACTCAAATAAAATGCCACGGTGATTCTTTGTTTCTAATTAGAAGTTTTATTTTAGTGTTTCACAAGCTAAGAGGAAGAAACAAACATGTGGAAGAAGGCTTTCTGGTCAGATTCAACCAAACTTTATCTAAAATGTGAAAAGGGAAACACAAGAAACACACAGTAAACATGGTGGTGCCAGAATCATACCAGGATTACAATTAAATTATTTTCAATGTGTTAGTATTGCCTTGTCAAAGTGGAGACCTAAATCTAATGGCAAGACTTGAAAATTGATGTCGACAGGTGGTGCCTATCCAGAATTATGTATTATGTAGAATTATATGTGAACTTCAAGTGAAATAGGAAAGTAGACCATGAAGTAGTATAAACCTGGCAGCTGCAGCACAGCCTCTGGGTATTTATGCACCCTATAACAGTGTTTGTCTATAATAACATTTTCCTCTTGCGGCGTCACATTTAGTGGAAACACACCGAATATGTAAACAAGCCGATCCTATTACAGTGTGTCCAGCATGTCCACCTTTATGGTACTGAAAACCAGTAAACGTACATCTAACAAAAATAGGTCACGTTCCAATGAGCTGATATTAGGTTTGGAATTTCCCCCAGCTGGTCTAAAAATTCAGTGGATACAGACGCATGTAGTTTTTGCAAACCTTTGTTTAGCATCCCCTAGCAGGATTTCTGTTGGGTTCAAGTCTGGTATGTAAGTGTGATATTGCAACACACCACACACACAAGTGTTCCATTGTAGATTCAAGGCTTTTTTTGGGGTTTATTGTCTTTGCATTTTCCATTTTGTCTTTAAAAGGAGAAGCATTTTTCTTTTGATTTTTGTTGTACTGCAGTTCTGTCTTTCTTTTTTAGAGACACATTTTCTGCATTTTTTCATTCAGTCTGAAATATTCACTCACATAGGGAAAAGAATCTGTGGAGTCTTTGGATGTGCATCAGGTTTGGTATGTGTTAAGGAAGGAATAGACTTATGTCTCTGTTCCTGTGTGTTTCTTTTTCTTATGCTTTTAATTTTGCAAAATGCATATTTTTGGTGTTTATGTGTGTATTCAAGTACTGTATTAATTATATCTGGATGTTTTGATTTGATATTGATTTCCAGATTTGCTGCTTTGTATCACTGGGGGCTCTATGTCTCCCTAACTCAGAGGTTCCCAAACTGCGGGGCGCGCCCCCTACAGGGGGCTCTGTGTCATTGCAGGGGGGGCGCGGGAAGCCGTCTGGATGAAAAACAAAAAAACAAAACAAAACATGAACACTGTATGCGCTGGGTTTTTACCTTAGAATGGCCAACTCTGATATTCCTATGTCAATTTGATACAGTAGAGGCTTCCACGTTTCCCATATCTGTGTCCTCTGTCACTTTTATCAGCAGTTAAAACTGTTTAATCCGTTGTTAACATGTAAACTGTTTTTCCGAGCCGCCTTTAAACGCAACATGAGCGCTACGACGCTCGCGCTGGAGGAGACCTGCTGCTGGGCGGAGCTACGTAGGTTTGTGTTAGAATCACGGCAGCAAACCAGCAAAACGCAAAGAACTTTTCACAGTTTTTCCCTCCAAACTAACCGACTGAGTTGAGTGAAGCTGTTGGATGCAGGTAATGTTAGCTAAAAGATGACTAGCTAGCTAATATCAATACAGAACCTTTAGCTTAACAAGTACCTTGTAGGCTACCGATGTTGGTGTCTATTTTCAGCTATTCCCCCGCCCCCCGTCACACGCGTCGTTTCAACCAGACAGCCATTTGTAATCCATGGGGGGCGGCAGAAAATGTTTGGAAACCACTGGGGGGGCGCAGAAGAAAAAGTTTGGGAACCACTGCCCTAACTGAAGCCCTGAAATCATTCATGTTTTCATAATAGTGATATTGGACTGCATATTCTGAAAAAAAGGTGTTTCTCTTTCTAATTGCTGTAGTTAACCTATTGGAGTTGCTATGAAACATAACCTTTATGGCACGAGTCATTAAAAATAAGTACAATTTTATCAATACAGACTAATTTGTTTGTGGAACATTACCCATAGATAAACCCTCATAACCCATAACATATTAGCTAAGTGTAACACTCTTACACTTAGTTAATGTGTAAGAGAGCTTGCTGCATAATACTTATTACCAAGGTCTCGTCAAATTTCAAAACAGCATGTCAGCTTCTGTATAACATTTGACTGTAATTGAAAGGATTACATTCAGTATAAATGAACACTGATTCTTGAATGTACTAAACTGAAATACCTAATTTATTGTCCTGTTTGCCTGCTCAACAAAACTATTAAAAATATATATATTTTTTCCTTCTAAAAAGACTTACAATATGCAAGACATACTTTATAATTCTGTTTAAATGTTTAATAAACAGAATTTGACAACAGAAAGTGTCATACTATTGATTACGTGACTCTTTACTTTGTTGCCAGGGTCTAGATGAAGAGGCGTTGGTTGACCACGGGAAGACCAGCTTCACCACTCTTTCAAACTATGAGACAGAAGATTTGGAAAGTAAGTACAAAGCCTTTCAGCTCAACGTAGTTTACTAACAATTGTTTTTTTTTTTTTCTTTTGTTCAGTAATAAATCGAAATATTTGGTCCTTTGAGGAAAAAAGTCCAATTTCGCACCTAACCTTACCCTGGGTGAAGCTAATGGATATATATTTTTGTAGTAATTGTGATGTTTATGGCAGATAAAAAAAATAGCTTTATTTTTGTATTATATAACTGTTGTTGATTTTTTTTGTAGGGAAAATGAAAAGAAAACCATTTGATAATTTCCTATGAAGTTTCATATATAAAAATGTAACAGACACCGTTTAACTGCATTAAAATCAAATCAGCAGAAAACAGCTGATGAGTTTAAGCCTCATTGCTCTCAAGAGTCTTGAAAACCAATAAGCAGTGGAAAGAATGGAATCATCAGTAATGTGTCTGTATCTGTATGGAAACTCTAATGGCTCTAATTTCCTGTTGACATCACTTTGTGGTATACAAACCGCACATTTCTGTCATTATTTCATTAACAGCGAAGTAAGAACCTTTGTTTGTACTCATTACGTAATGGTGAATGTTAAGAGTGCACACCCAGTTACAAAAGGCTGTTTTTCTTTAACACACGTGGTGTCATTTATGATTTGAAGTATTATTTTACTCCCTCAAAATATCGCTCATTTTCTGGCACTCTTTTAATTAAATTTCTTCTGCGTCAAGCCTTAGCTAATCCTGTAAAATAAATTTTCATCAGAGGCCACATATTTACTGTGGAAAATAATTAAATCTGTTATTACCTTGGTTTTCGAGTCTACCTCTTCCCCCTTCCATTGCTGTTTCTCATGGTTCACTTTATCCATATTCTTCACATTTCCTCTGAGTTTTTTTTTCTACATGCTGCATCTTGGTGTCATTTCTCCTGAGTTTCCCCTCAAATCAAAGAGAAATGACTCATCCGTTAAAAATGGGTATCGGCAGAGTACGTTGGGTGAAAATAGGCCAGTTTATTTCGGAACGCGGTTCCTTTGTGGGAGTAACAATAATGATGAGAAGCAGACAAAACGCAGAGGGGAAAAAAAAACTAAGAAGAGCAAAAGTTAAATGTTGTACTCTGGTTTTCGTCAAGTAGATTAACTTAAGCTTTCCAACAAAATGGAAAGAGATTCCTTCTGTCTTCTCGACAGTGTTGTGTTCTTGATTCTAATGTCAGTTCTTGAAGCCAAAACTATTTTTACCCGTTATCTAAGAGTTTGAGGTTTATACGCTTGTGAAAACAAAGTTGATGTACTCAATTTGAAATGTTAATATTCTTATTATAGTTGTTTCCTCTAAGAAAGAATTAAACTAAGAATTTGGTTTATCTTTTTATGCTTTTATTTGCTTACTATGACAATAAAAATATATTTTGCTCTTGAGATAGATGGGAAGTCAAAGTACATGGCATGCTTGGCAATTGAGACGGTCTAAAACAAAGTTGCTTGTGCGTCATTTATTAAATAAAGTTTCCTTTCTTTCCCAGGTCACAGAGCTGTGTACGTAGGGGTCCACGTTCCATTTGGAAGAGGGAGCAAACGGCGGCACCGCCACAGAGAACGCAGACATCACCGAAAGAAGAAGGACAGAGACTGTGAGGAAGGAAAGGAAGATGGAAGAGAGTCCCCCAGTTATGGTTCGACTCCGTTTTTATTTAAGTACAATATGTCAAAAGTAAATAACTCTGCACTTTCTTTTTGCAAAAGGTTATATTCCTGTTTGACTTTCTACTGTCACTCTTCTAATTTCTGTCATAAAAAAAAACTTTAGGTCTCCCAGATTAGTTTATTAATGGATCCTTTTCTGTCGCAAACTAGTAAATCAACACCTGATCAACTTAAAATGTTGTGTATATAAATCAAGATTTGTTTGAAGAATTCATTATTCTTTTTTATTTTTTTCTTTTCCATTTACTGGTACTTTTAAATTTTTTTTTCTAATTTACAATTACTGCATTATCAATTGCTGAGTACGTATTATTGTTGAGAACGTAATTGCAATGTGCAGAGCGTACGATTTCTTATTTGCGTAGTTTACAGCTGACTGTCCAAGCTGAAGGTGATTACACAGCAGGGTCAGGGAAAGTAAAATCCGATCACAAGCGGCTACTCGAAATGCATCCTGAGACCTGCCTAAAGCTTACTGCTTGGGATTAGATTAGGCCAGATGCATGGGGGGAAAAAAAAACAGCTAATAGTTGTTTACGTTGTCCACTAAGGTTTACGGCAATCACGTACAAAAATGCATCAAGTAAATCCCAAACATTGTAGAAAAGGGAAGTTTCAATTGGACAGAGCCTTAGTTTGGCATTTTATTGCGTTACAGTGAGTTTCATTTGTTATAATCTGCTTGAGCAGGGTAGCAGCCACAGATTTCTATAGTGCCTAGAAGGAATAATATGTGTGCAATATATAAACCAAGGGATGGGATGTGCTGCTCTCTCTCATACTGCAATGCAATATATTTCTCTGCTTTCTGTGCTCGTCATCTTTCAGTTCTGCGTTCATTGCTAAAAAGCTTTAAAGGCCACTGTGAAGCAGCGTCTGACAGGTCGTGACATTTTAAGTGATGTGTGCAAGCACCTTGTATGGAAAGTAGCTGCGCCGTCAGAGCTGCAAGATATAAAAAGCAACAAATAAAAGCTTAACACTGAAGATATGCTTAAAAAAAACAATCTTGGTATTTGAGTACATCCACTCGTGTTTTCCGTCTGGTTCTAGATCAGCTCTGGAATGTTGCCACACATAAAAGTGGGGAGTATTACGTTTAATAAAATTAATGTTAAAGGTTTTATGCTGTTTTTGAAGTTGTTTTCTTAACACACTGATTACTTTCAGTTACCAACTAGTTGTGATGCTCTGAAAGTTTATTTTTTTATAGCCTTAATTTTAAGTCTAAAATCATTATGTATATCATTTGAAGAAAAAAAAAAAAAGTTGTACTTTCTCCAAATAGCACCATAGGTGACTTCTGAGAGATGTTGATGTGTTTGGTCAGTACAAATACTTCTATGCACTTTTTCTTTACCTCTAAAGTTGGAAGTTTGATCTGGGAATGACATCAAGCTGGCAATACAAGTGTGTGTTTTCCTGTATTTTTGACTTTAAACCCCTGTGGCAACCTGCTCACCAAATAAGGTTGTGTAGTCCTGTGTGGGTGTGTCTAGACGATTTAATGAGACACAGATCACTGGAGATGCTGTTCTGTCTTCTGCATAATGTGTTTCCAACTGCAGACTTGCAGTGCTTATATTGTGATTTTATGACTTCATTTTTTTTACTGTGTTCAGGATTGTAGCTCACATCACTTAGATTCATTTCCATGGCTGAAATAGATGTGAAAAATGTAAAAGGAAAAAAAAAAAGAAAGCACAAGGCAGCTGAGAATGCAGACGAAGTTTGCCAAAGAGTGAAGAAGTTACATTTGGCAAGGTCCACCCAAAACAGTAGTAGTGATTTTAAAAGTCTCTGGCTAACCTATGAGTTCATAAGGTGGAGATTTTTTATTTGTGATTTATTCAATGAGAATAAGAAAGTCAGGGGAAATGTTTTGCAGCAGTAGATTGGGAATTCATTAAAAACGACACCCTGTGAAGCTGAATGAATGAATGAAGCTGATTAACGCCAGTATCAGTACATGATGTGACCTGCGGACATCGGCAAATGTTTAGTTCTGATAGAGCAGACATAAGAAATTAAAAACCGCTTTCATAGAACAAATTTAAATGAGCTGTGTTTTATATTGAATAAATGTCTTGACATTTCATTAATTCTAGTCTTAATGAGTATGCTGTTAATCTATTGTAATTTCTCTGTGTTCAGACACACCTTCACAGAGGGTACAGTTCATCTTAGGAACAGAGGACGACGACCTCGAGCACATCCCCCATGACCTCTTCACCGAGCTGGATGAGCTGTCCTTTAGACACGGTGGCGCGACCGAGTGGAGAGAGACCGCCAGGTTAGAATAACAATGAAAACATGAACAAGTTGATAAAACATGAAAACAAATAAAGATCTTCTATAGTTGTCTAATTACACGTTGGTTTTATGAGCAAATGTTAGTGATGACTTCTCTTTAAATTAATGTGGTTCAGTTAAAATGTTATTATTCATAATGATTAATAATAACGGTCTCTATTTTCATATCTAAGTCATTGCGAACCATATTTTTAGTTCAGTTCACTTCTGTAGGTTTTTAGCTTCTAGGCTTTTAATGACTGAACCAAGGGGTGGGCAATGTGGACTTAAATTTTTATCACAATGTTTTTTGTGGTGTAAGCATGACATTTGATAAAAGAGACAATAACAATTTATTCCTTCAGTTTTGGGTGACTGTATGGCTATGGCTGCATTCATATAATATGCTTCCTTACAACACCAGTCATGTGATGTGATTTGTATCACTTAACTGCATTCAATCATATTTTAAAATCTGTTGATATTTTTTCTCATTGAACAAACACTGGAGAAAATAGTAAAACTAACAATCCCAACAATATAGTTTTGGGGGATTTTAAACATCATTAAATGGAAATTAATGTGACAATAAATCAACAATAAATAAATCTTGTAATGATTAGAAGTTGATAACAATTAATGATAAACGATACAATAACTGCCCTCCCCTAACTGAAACTTGATTTTCAGGGTATATTTATCTGCAAAACTCGGGCTCAACTTCCGATTTTAATGTTTTCACAGGTTTGCTTTTCCAAACCTTTTAGAGTTGGAAGTGGGATTAGTGATTTTAGATGCCTGGTATCCCACAGATTGTTTTCTAACAGAAACATGTTCAATTAGTCACAGATTTGGGAGTATGAGTCATCCAGCTTGCACTGCTCCTGTTAGACTGCGTGCTCTGTCGGATGAAATTTGTCAAAACAGTAAAATGCAGTCGGCTGTGACGAGAACACTGCAGTTTTTTTTAATTTGATGGTTGAAAGGCTAACAAGGAGGTTTTTAAGCGCAGCCCTTTTTTGCTACTTCACGTGAAACATTCTTTCTGTGTGCGTCAGATGGCTGAAGTTTGAAGAGGATGTGGAAGACGGCGGCGAGCGGTGGAGTAAGCCCTATGTGGCCACGTTATCACTACACAGCTTATTTGAACTACGCAGCTGCATACTGAATGGCACCGTCATGCTGGATATGAGGGCCAACAGTATTGAGGAAATTGCAGGTACAAACACAACTCACTGGAATCTCTCAGATTTAATATTTATCCATCATGGTCATAAAGTTCATATTAATTTGCTGTGCTTACTGTTTTACTTGAGGGACAACTTCAGGGGGAATTTCAAAAACAATAATTGAATGAATTTGAATTTATTTTTGATGTTTTTAATCCACAAAGGCCTCACGTTTTGCATTCAGATAGAAATAAATATATGTAGTCCTACTAATAATGGACCAGATCGTCCATTGGAAGACGGCCCTCGACCAGATGCTTTTTGTAATTAACACGTTTGTGGGCTAATCTCGGTAGGAACTTTAAGCAATCTTCTTTTAGGTGGCTATATAATTGGTAGAGTTCATTTAAAAAGTTCTTTAACAATGACAGCATATTCCCTGTTGTAAATTATATGTTATTTTTTTGAAAAGGTCAGGCAGTCCTAAATAAGATTTGTTTTGCTCGACTGAGTGCAGAAATGGCTCTAGTCAGAATTATGCCAGAAGTTTGTGTGTATGTATTTGAGCCTGTTTTTATTATTTTGACCTTGTGCAGATTGTGGAAAATACTAAACAATTTTAATTTTGTGTACCCATTTTTTGTTTGGCAGGTGATCATTCCACGACACAAACCCAACAGCTGAAATAAATAAATAAGCCCAAAATAAAATGACATTTAAGCTCATGGGTGAATGGAAAGTTTTCACCAGAACTGTCATGTTTGGATTGTGTAACCCTGCGTGTTTAGCTTTATATAACTGTCTTTGTGCGTTCCAGACATGGTCATAGACAGCATGGTGGCATCTGGGCAGTTGAAGGAGGATTTGCGCACCAAGGTCCGAGAAGCAATGCTGAAGAAGCACCACCATCAGAATGAGCGGAAGCTCAGCAATCGCATCCCTCTGGTGCGCTCCATTGCTGACATAGGCAAGAAACATTCTGACCCACTCTTGCTTGAAAGAAACGGTGAGATCCTACAGCGCACTCACATTTCTTGCTCTTCCATCTATTCAACCACTGGGGAACTGTGCTTTAAAATCCACTGTTCAAATCCCTCACTGCCAGCATAGGAGGTGGATGGTCAAAGTGAGTAAAATTTAGAGAAAACTCTTAGTCCCCTGACTGGAAGAGAAATTTGGGTGCTAAAAATTGTGCTAACCCGTATGGCTGGCCTGTCTTTGGGGTTTGAATTAATTCCTGATTTTTCTCCTCAAAGTGTCATTCCAGTGACGATGCCCTACGCACGACCGTGCCTATGGTGTACATGTTGTAACATGTTGGTTAAGAAGCTTGAGATTTCAATATTGAATGAGATGTCACATTCTTCACTTCTCTGCCTGTGGTTTTCACTCGACTTGCATTTCATGTCATTACACTGGAAATTTGAAAGGTTGGTGATGGCATTTGTTGCAAAGTGAAAGGTGTGTGACCAAATGGACATGCATTGTTGTGGCAGAGCTCTTGTTTGCTTGCTGTGCACAGACATCTTGTTAGCTCATCCTCTGCAGCATGCTAGCCTTAAAACTAGAGCTGTTGCCTTTATTCAGTCACAGTGCTTGATTGGTTCATTAAAAGTAGAGATGCACCGATCAGAATTTTTTCAGCTGATTAAGATGCCTACCAATACGGGTTGTAGCTGATTAGTGCTGTAATCTCCATTTGTTTTTCTCAGAGGATAGCTCAAAAGGATAAAAAATGTCAATTCAGTTCAGTTCAATTCAGTGCAGCCTTCCTGTTATCTGCTGAAAGTTTAACTCTCTCCTGCAGCCTCATTTCTTTGAAATAGCTTCCTACATCGCCTCTGACCTTACTCCTAAAGACCTCGTTGATATTTAACATAGCTCACTTTGAAGGGCGATGAACAGACAACCTCGATTACTTTCACTCAAACAACTCGAACTGGCTGCGTTCAGTTATCCTTTTCGACTCTGCTCTATTCCAATACTTCTGATAAAACTATCAAGGACTGAAGTCCAGTATCGTGTCAGGCCTAGGTGGAATTCAGCGTGACATATCTCGTGTGTTAAAGGCAGGAACTGAAGAGATATATTAGACCACTGATAGTTTATGTTTCCCCTAAATCTTCTTTACTCAGTGATGGCATTCACACCAAAGAGTATTGTTGTTAATCTTTGACCTGGTAGAGCTTAAGTATGCTATTAGTAAAATAGCAGATGTTTTAATTTTCGGCTGACCAGCCTATCTATCAGAAAAGTGTCTCGGTGCATCTCTGGTTCACAGTTTAAAGTAACGTTTTTCCTTGCAGACCCTCCAGCATCCCTCTGATTCATCCTTACAGCTTGCTCCACACATCTATGCTTTTAGCTCACGTTATGCAAGCACAACACTTTCCAGCTGCACCTTTTTGCGATGCTCTTGCTTTGCATCCTTTCTCACTTTGTTTCCTTGGGGTGCCATCTGTGTATTGTACATCAACTTCATATTGTTGCCCTCTCTGTTCCATCCCTTATTCCGTTATCCTCTCCTTACCCTCCTTCTATATTTTCCTTCTCCTCTCCCTTTTTTTGCCATTGTCTCCTCTGTTAGGAGAGGGCTTGTCCTCCTCACGGCTCTCTCTCCACAAGCCAGGACTGGCCTCCTCCCTCTCCAGCCTGTCCCAGAGACGAGAGTCGAGAGTCTCCGTTCTGCTCAACCACCTCCTGCCCTCCTCCTCCTCCAACACTGGGCTGTCTCCGGGCCCCTCTCCCCACAGCACCCCACAAAACACCCCTTTATCGTTTCGCCGCTCCCATCTAAGCCCGTCACAAACCCGTTGCACAGGCCCCGGCCCTCAAGGCATACCGGAGGTGGTTGTATCTCCTCCCGAGGACGATGAGCCGGCAAATTCTGCGGAGGAGGACGCAGTGTCTCCACAGCTCACCCGGCGAACGTCCTCGGCATCCCAGAACCACGAGCTGCTGCCCTTAGAAGGCAAATATCTGTGTAGCCTGCCAGTGTGAGTCACAGCTTGAACAGAGAACACTAGCACTAGCATGAAAGCCCTGTTTCCCTGTTTTTTATCTTCCAACCCTGTGACCATTTCATCAACAACCCACTGCAAGGCTGCCTTTCTAAGACACTGGATGTGTTCCAAAAAGTTTTATGTTTTTCTTTTATTTTGGCACCATTAATCCGTTTACCTCCTTTTATGTCTGTTCCAATAAGCTATTTAGTTGTACACGTTAGAACCTTCCTAAACTTGCTTTGCTTTACCCATTCAAACACCTCTATGCATTTTCTCATTATCATGTTCTTGGCCACCCTTTCCTTCACTCTCTCCTCAGTGCAGCTGCATGGCTGTGTTTCGCTCCTCTTTTCCCGATGCTGGATTCTTCCCTGTGCTTTTATTTTTACATTCAGCTAACCTCATTGGATAATACTCAAAGCATTCCAGATAAGGTTTCTCAGCAGTGACATTGGAATGTTTTTTTTTTTTTTTTCGGTTTGTTTTTAACCACTGTTTAGTATCTGAGGAGAATCTCAGAAGAAGGTTTTATTTTCAAAAGCAATAGTCAAAAGAACAATTTGAATGAAACACTGGCGGAAAAAGTAGTTAATATATATACCTATGTTTGGAAATATGGCTAAAAATAAAATTTTTGTATTTTGAGGAGTTGTGCTCCAACACCGCAACAAACATTTTCTTAATCTTGTCTGGGTTCCTTTTTAATAAACTTAGGCCCTTTACATTGATAAATAAAATGTCAAGAGTGAAGTTGAACTTTGTTTTCCTCACAGAGATGAGAAAAATACTTTTCTCCAATACATTGCATTCTGCTGTTATTTACACCACAGAAATGCTATTGTGCCTTTTGAAAAGGAAGTCAGAGTATCTACAAAAATTCAGCTGTAATTTGTCCTTTTTTTGTCTTTGGTGCAATTTTTAAAAGTTGACCTATTATTCTTAAGGCTGACAAGCATCAGAAAAGTGAAACCTGTGTTAGGCTGCAGCTGCTTATGCAGCAGACACATTTCCTCTTTTTACACATCTGAGCGAAAGATTGACGTCACCACGGTTCCCCTTCGGTAATTCACACCAACCAGAGAGAGGAGACTAGGCCTTTCTTATCAGTATGGGTTTACAAAAAAAAAGAAAGTGCTCTGGAACCAGAAAAACACAACCACTGGGTGCTTCACATGACAACTCACTTGCCTCACATACACATGAAATTTAGTTGTCAAAAGCTAAAAAAAAAAAAAGAAAAGATGTGTGAAAAGAGTCCCACCCAAACAATTCTACCTCAGAAAAAACAAATTAATCTGATGTTTTCACTTTAGTATGACGAGTCTGACAGAATTTGGCTTGTAACAAATTTGTTCTGTTACTTAAGACACCCACATATGCATGTGCAAGAAAGAAGAAAACAAGATGAATGATTAGAAATAGAAACAAATTAAACCAGGTTGTTCTCGTGCACCTGACTGCTAATTGTTTTTTTGTTGTTGTTGTTTTTTTGGAACATGCAAATGATACCAAGCTTCCCAGTTATTACTAAATAATATACTACATTTCACCATGACAAGTAAAACGTCAGGAAGCACAACACTTATAGTTTTCTGTAACCAAAGAAAAAAACCTGACATATTCAAATACGAGTGAGAAAAAAAGACATGCTTTTTAACACTCACTCTGTAGTTTAACTAAAGCAATTACATGTACCTGTATGTGTACATGCACATACAGACACACATAAATACAAAGGTAAACCTCTATATGCATATGTACCCACATACACATACATAGTTCACATATACATACATTTAGGTTTGCGTACAAATACTGCTGACACAAACATACAGACATATATTTATACACACACACAAACACACACACACACACACACATATATATATATATATATATATATATATATATATGTATATATATATATATATATATATATATATATATACATATATATATATATATATATGCAACCATCCATATCCTTACTTATCTTAATAACACTTATTCGTTGTATGGTTTCAACAACATACTTTTATACATTTTCATATGGACTTCGTTTGAGATCTTCTCTTAATTTATTCCATAGCCTAACACTAGAAATAAATACATTTTGTTATACAGAAAAGTTGTTGTTTGTACGTTTAAGATTTATTTATTTATTTATATTTTTCTCTTAATTTGTAACCTTTATTCCTTTTCTTAAATATTGAATAATTTCTGGCAACTATCTGTTATTTGCTTTATACAGTCATGCCACTTTAGTACCCGTCCACGTGAAGACGAGATTAGGTGCATCTGCAAATGTTTTTTTTTTTTTTTTTGTCTTGTAGATCATTCATACACATGGATTTGGGGTTTTTGGGATAACGGGGACAGTCATTTTTGAAAACCGGTTCCATAGCAGATACATTTCCAAATGCTGGTTTCATGTTTGTATGTACAGGCGAGCTGCGTCTTTTGTGACATTGTTGCTCAGTCTCTCTCAGTAACCCACATGCGCCTCATTCTCACAAGCAGCCAACATGCTGCCAGCCATTTGGTGTTGCTCTGTGTTTTTTAGTCATTCTGTGGCGGTGTTGCATCGCCTGTGGTCCCACATCCTGTTTTGTGGACGCACATTTGTTCTTAATCATTTGCAAAAGATTACTGAGTTCGTCTTTGTGTGGACTGGGCCTAGATTTATTGTTGAGACAGTAGCCAGAACTTTATTTGGAGTTCAACTAGTGATTCGGGAATTTGCTCTTTGCAGAAAAAAGAAAACAATTTAAAGAAACAAATTTATTCAGAGGGTTACATCATTAAAGAGTTAGCATGTGTTTCCCAGAAACAGGAAGTCTTGGGAACCCCTTCTTTTTAGTTTTTAAAATGTATGCTTTTATTATATAGCCTGAAGCAAAACCTTTCTTTTTTTACCTCTGGGTGATGGTTCTATTTCCAGTTCATACTAATTTAACATCCATGCTTATTGTGTTTTCCTCTTTTGCATCATCTGGAACCCATTCACTTCCTCCTCATCAGTTCCTTAGAATAAACATTCTTTTACCCGAGTAAGAATGTTGTGGGAGCACACTGTGCCAGCAGTATGACTGAAAATATCCTGTGACTACTAGGATTGGTTAGTACTGAATGTGCTATCATATTCGCACCTACGGTGACGTTTTGTTCCTCCCAAACCAGGCCAAGGGAGTTTATTTTAGACTGCGTGCATGTGTATATGTTTGTCTGGGAATGGCTCCATTTCAAGGCATGGGTCATTAATAAACTCGCTGGGAAACTGAAAGGTTGGGGGTGATCTTATTATAGCTGGCCAGCTTTTGTAACTGTACCCCCTCCTAGGAATTACATCACATGAACAGGCAGGGATCTTCACATTCATAATATAGAAATATCTTCAGTGGAGGATTTCAGGCTTTGAAATTGTGTGATATCAGTTAAAAATGTGCTCTGTTGTCAACTTGAAGTTGACAAACTTTGAAGATTGTAATGTTTGTAATTGTGTAGATGGGTAATTTAGAGCTATAAAAGTACTACAGATTAGCTTAGCAGGTTGGCATTATGAGCTTTCATGTAAGGCTGTCTAATCCTTTGGAAGCGTTAGTTGTAGCATATGTGGTCATTGGCTAAATACATGCCACTGTAAACTACCATGCAATTATAGAGTGAGTGTATCCAAACTTTACTGTGAGTAGCTAGAATATTTACATGATGCTAAACATCCTACATAGACATCTCTCGAAAGGGCTGCATGAGATATTAAAAATGTATTGTCGCTACAATTTAACATTAAATAATAGTGTTGATCTTCACATCTCAAAGAACCGGTGCAGTATTTGGTTGTATTCTTCACCTTTCAAACATTTTACCCCTATTGGATAGACTTTCAATGCAGTAGATCTTCACACTGTATATTGATGATACCTAAGATGTAGAGGATCACCGATGTTTTTGGAAGTGGTTCAGATGGGAAAAACCACCTTACAACCACACATTTGTGTTTTCGTGGAATGTTGTTTGATAGATCAACTTAAAGTAGGCAAAGAAAAAACATGCAGGGGTTTTAAATATTTATGCAAATAAAAGTTTGAAAAGTAAGACTTGCTTTTGTATTCAGCCTTTCTGAGTCAATACTTTGTACAGCCACTTTTCACTGTCGTTTCGGTTACGTATTTACACATCGATGGGTTCATTCTAATACATGGTCGCGCTTTCAACCAGACCACTACATTTTAGCTCTTTAGGTATGTTTAGGGGTTTTGTCCTCCTGGACAGTAATTTTCTGTCCCAGTTTTGCAGACTCTAAGAAGGATTGTCCTGTATTTGGCTTCATGTTTCTACTTTTTTTACTCTGAAGAACTTTCCTGCCCCTGCTAAAGAAAGTCACAGTATGACGGTGGCACCACCATGTTTGATTAGGTTGATGTTCAGTGTTCCTTTTCCTTCACACATAGGCCAAAAAGTTGCATTTTGTTCCCATCTTACCAGAGCTCCTTCTTCCATCTGTTTGCTGTGTCCACTACGTGGTTTGTGGCAAACCTGACATGGGCTTCTTGGGGTTTCCTTTCAACAATGGCTTCCTTGTTACCAATCTTTCATGAAGGCCGGATTTGTGGTGTTATTGACTAAAGTTGCATTAACCCTGTGGACAGATTGTCCCACCTGAGGAACTGAACCGTGCTCTGTTAGCTGTTCATCGTAAAGCTTTTTTTTTTTTCCCCCCCACTAATGTTCTCTAACAAACCTTCTAAAAACAGCTGGATTTATACTGAGATTAAATTACACACAGGTGAATTCTATTTAATAAATAGGTAACTTTGTAAGCCAGTTGGATGAATTTCATTTAGGTGGTATCATTGTAAAGATGGCCAGATACACGGAAGTCACTTTTCAGATTTTTGTTTGTTAAAAAAAAAAAAAAAATGGTATCCTTGTTTCCTTTTTTGTACGATTTATGGTTAAGCTCTACTTTGATGCGTACGTTTAAGGGGTCTGAATACTATTTCAGTGAACGGTATGACTATAATCTCACTTTCTGTGATAAATCCAAGTACATGTGCTACCATTCTGATGAAAGTAAGAAAGAAAAACTTCAATAGAATTTCATTTATTCTTGTTACTATTTTGCATATGAGTGAGCCAGTATAGTGACGCCACAGCTTGAAAGCCTGGTGTGGGGGAGCATTCCAGGGCTTAGTGCTCCTGAATGTCGTCCTTTCGGCAGACACTGGCTATTATAATCCACCCTATATTCCTAAAGGCTTTGTTGGGTTTGTGAGCAATCGTGCTTCTGTTCAGCGGTCCAAGTTACCTAGCACCCGCTGGGGTTACTCCAGGGTACGGATCAATGACGAAAGCATATGCTGGCAGAAAATGGGGCATTTAAATTTTGACCCATGAGCTTCTGGAAGTATGAAAATGAGAGAAGAAGAACCTGGTAAAAGAAAGGAATTCAGAGGAAAGGCTTTCTGCTATTCTTTGATTCAGTGCATTACCCCCTCATTTCATCTCCCTCTCTCATGTCATATCAAGTGCTAGCGTTTCCTGGGTCTGGTATGGTTCTAATCAAATAAGAAATGGTAAAGTGTTTATGCGCAGAAATATATAAGCATTGAATAAATGTGTCCACTTACCTGTACAAAAACACAAAGCGTAAAGCTGACATTAATTCAAGCTAAGCAGGTTTTACTGTAGTGTCAGAAAAATGAGACACGATGACATTCCAGGATTAATTTGTGGAAATTTCCCCTGTTTAGATGCAAATTTTACAAATTAAAATACATGTAAAAAGTAGATCCACCATTTGAGCATTCTCTCCTATTTAGGAATTACATTCAGTGGAATGTTATTGATATGAGTTGATCTTAAGCAGAACAGATTAGGCATAAGTGTAGAGAACGATGTAAATAGCCTAAAAAAAACTTTAACATTTTTTATTCATTAGAAACAAACATCTCCTGTAGAAAGAAAAAAAAATGGCTTTAAGTTATCTGGCTTCTAATGACACCACAAATTACATTTCTTGCTAAACCACTAAATCTGTTGTAGTCTAGTAATTTCCTCCTATGGTCAACACTTACACAGTGTCCACTGTTGCTTCTCTGTTGCTCTCAGGACCAATGGTGTCTCCGCACTCTCTTCCAAACAATCTGGATGGAAACAAGGCGATGGAGAGGAGGCCGTCCAAAGTAGGGGTCAGTAGAGAAAGCAGCAGTGTGGACTTCAGCAAGGTAACCTGACCACAGTACTGAGCACAGACAGGGTCCCGTCACATCGGAACGCACCCCTTCAAGTCCGTCCGTGTTTTTCTTTAGTTTCTGGGTTTGCTCAGACATTTCAGTCTTCTGTTTAAAGCAGCCCCTCCACAAATCATCCCATAACCTCGCCTATAAAACAAATCAGTAGCCACTGCTTCTCATCCGATGGACAAAGAATCCATCATCACAATTAAAAAAGTCTTTTCTGATTATGTAACTCGTTCTATTTGAAAATTTACCTCTGTTGCATGGCTTTCATTTCTTCCTCCCATTTTGCAGTGTATCATCCATTAAATAAAATGGCAGACTGCCATAAGTTACTGTTATACAACCAGGCATTATGCCTGCCAAAAAATAAGGTGCAGTGTGTATATGAGTCATAGGAAAGAGGACTGAATGCAGATTCACTTCTACAAAGGGATTGTTGCCATGCTTAGATCTGTGTTTTACATAATAAATAGTAGTTATTTGAAGACTGTGAAATTGATCACAGAATTGGACTATCTTTGCTCAGTACTATCTCGGTCTACATGTTGCCATTTCCACATGTTATTTTTGTTCCATTCTCTGTTTTTTATCCCAATTTTTTTTTCATGGCTTTTCCAAATGAATGCAGCACGCAGTAATACCCCCACCCAGTCCCTCCACTTCTACAGTATTTCTAGCTTTTATTTGTATGTCTGATTTTTACATTTTGTGGGTTTCAGGTGGACATGAATTTCATGAAAAAGATTCCTCCTGGCGCTGAGGCTTCAAATGTGCTTGTCGGAGAAGTGGACTTTTTAGAGAAGCCTATAATTGCATTTGTACGGTTATCACCGGCAGTCCTTATCACAGGGCTTACTGAGGTACCAGTTCCCACAAGGTACAGTAATCTTAAACACCTGCCTTTTACTTCTAGGATTAGATATTTAATTAAAAAAACAACAATTCTGACAGCTACTTAAACTGAGATTAAGTCAGGATGATTTAAAAAGCTCACTGTAAAAGTTATATTGCATAATGTAGGGAATCAATGTAGTTCCAACTGTTGTTCTTTATCTTCTACTGTATAATGTGTTTAAATGTACGTAACAAAACTAAGAAGCCATATCAAGATAAAGCACACTCCCCATCTATTTAAAATGTGATTTTCTTTTTTTTTTTAAATCATTCAGCATTTTGTTATAAAAGCATTATCTCTCAATTAAAAATTTTGAAAAACCCAACCTTTATTTTGGGCTCATTTATTAAGTGGGAGGAAAGTCCTAGTTTAAGAAATCATTGCTTTATTGTACAAATTTACTGGTACTGATGTTCCCCTGGATAATTAATCTGAGTGCAACACACAACAGAGGTCAGTTTGTGTTTTACTCTTTAAAATCAAGAAGGCCAGATAACATGCTGTTCAAGTGCCGGAGATGAGTGCTGACCAATGTGAGGGAAAGGTCAACAAAAAATTGATAATTAATTCAGTTTGCCCATATCTGCGGTCAGCGCAACAATTAAAAAAAAAGTTGAAAACAACTGAAACTGTGAGAAACAAGGCTGAATGAGGATCCAAGTTTCTTTTGCAACATTGACAATACGCTCACTTTTATGGAGCAGCAGCACGTTTTTAAGTGTGTGATAAGTCCACTGTAATAGAAATCAAACTGAAATGTATGTAAAAGCTCCTCACCAACAATGTCGATAATTGTGAAGGCCTTGTTTTTTACATAGAAAAAAAAAAACAAAAAACAGAAAAAATTATATAATGACTGCAGATATTTGAAAGGCAGCTCTAGTTTTGTGTGGTGAACTTTGACTAAATATTGATATTTCATCAAATTCTCATCATTTGATTAAGTTTCATCAGTCATTGTGTTGTGACTCCTAAGCAAAGATGGCTTGAGCCTTTCAAAACTTTAGTTATTAAACCCTAATTTTAACTAAGTGCGTTGACAAAAGTTTAAAGTGAACATGTACTTGGAAAATTAGCCAGTTTTACTGAAAGACTTTGTCTTCTGTGGAAACTGATATCTGTGTATTTATAAATGCGTCTCCTGTGCAAAGGTTCCTTTTTCTCCTCTTGGGTCCACACGGTAAAGGACCACAGTACCATGAGATTGGCAGATCAATGGCAACACTCATGACAGATGAGGTTAGAATGTATTTCTGTAATTTAATACTTAGCCACTTTAAATCTTCTTTTTAGTTCACCTTTCTGTATGAATTTTCATTATTAATACTAAACAGTAACTCCCCACTTTATTTTGCCATGTAGATCTTCCATGATGTAGCTTATAAAGCCAAGGACCGAACAGATCTGCTCTCTGGAATAGATGAGTTTCTTGACCAGGTGACTGTCCTGCCCCCTGGTGAGTGGGACCCCACCATCCGAATCGAGCCCCCGAAGAACGTCCCATCTCAGGTTAGTACATTTATCTGCCAAAGGCTTTTTTTCTTTTTTACAATTATTTTGTGAATAATTCACTTAATTACAAATTGCTGTTTTAAAACTAAATCTGTAAAATGTTTAAAAGACGAGAAATCTTTGAAAAAGACTTGCATTGATTTCTCTTGTCAGTTGTTCGTTTACCACTAAGACTTCTTTACAGGATTTCAGTATAATTTTTATTTGATCTACTTTGAACTCTTTCTTCCAAGAGTCATTGGACAAGTATTTATCTCCTTAAAGCTTCATAAAAGCAGATGGATTGAAAAACAGAACAGATCTGATGCGTGACTTATTAACATTTCTTGGCTCGTAGATGAAGAGAAAGAGACCGTCGCACCCTAATGGTAACGCACCTCCAGCTGGAGAGCTGGAAAAAGAGGACGATCACCTTGCTGGACCTGAGCTTCAAAGGACTGGGAGGTTAGTGAAGCACTTTCTGTTGCATAAGATTCATATCTGGATAGTCTTTTATTAAATAACTTCATCAAATAAAGAGACATAATAATTGACATCTGTGTTAGTGTACATGTTGGCCCATGACAATGAGATAATTTAGGTGTCTCCTGATTGAATTTTCATTTTTCATTCACAGACAATCCTAAAACTAGTACTGGGAGATTTATATTTAATTAAGTCATGTTTTAATTTGACCAGCATGCCTCATCTGACTGGAATTAATAAACGTGTTTGTAGGGGCCCACTGAGAGTCCTGCCTCCAACTGAATCCAATAAAAGAATCTGTGTAAGGAACTGAAGCAAAGAGTGTTCTCCAACCTAAAAACGTTGAGTTTACCAAAAAGATGAACGTCCAAAAATACCAATGGAGACATGCAAAAAAAAAAAATAAAATCAACATGTCTTTTGTTAATCATTCTTTCCAATCAGAAGCAAACTTCTTGGGTGAATGAAGATCAGTTTAAATCTACAAAAGGTATAAATCATTTTGGGTTTACCTGTACAAAAATGTGCTTGAAAATTGAGAAACATACGGCATTGCTGCTTTTAGTATGAACGATTTTCCAAAGAAGTATTGCTTCTAAGCTTGTCAGATCTCATTATGTTTTACTGTCTTTGAAAAGTCTTTAGAAAAATGGACAAGTGCAGAATAGAGTGGGAGGTACCTGACATAAAACCTGTTCACAGTTAATTAGGAGTGTCTAAAAATCACATCAACAAAATAAGGAATTCTTCAGCAAATACACATTATAAATTAGCAAATGTCCCCTCATTTGATCCATCTTGAGCCTTATAAGAAATGGTCCCAGTTAATAGGTTGTTGTTAAAAAATGTTATTAAGGTAGTAAAATGGAAGATAAAAGGCTGTAGTGTGCCAAATCACACAAGAAATAGAAAAATCAGTGACAAATCCATGACTGCAAATCAGCACAGAAACGCTGCTACTGAATCGCTTAACCTTTTTTTTCATTGTTGACCTCAGAAAGTAATTATCTTCTGCCTCTTTTATGGCAGCGATATGGCATATGCCACTATTATTGGCCCTCTGATAAAGTTGTTTACAAAAGACATTATAAAATTATTAATTAATTTTGTGGAAACTTGGTGACCTTGAGATGACACTCTTTAATTAAGTTCTGTAAAACCTTTGGAGTTTTTTTTTTTTTTTAGCCCTCCTTATCATTCTTTTCACTGAAGTTTGGTCCTCATCCAGCCATGATTTAAACAGTTCCAGTTGTTTTAAACATTTTATCATTGTTCAGACTGTAGATATGAGCAGATGTAGAGTGGTAGAGAAGTGGCATAACTTCTTTCAGATTAGTAGAAAAAATATTTTTAGGTGGATTAAAAAAAAATCTTTTTGAAGTTTTTGCTTGGAAAAAGTAAAGTCATGTTTCCTCCTACAGTCCAAAAACAAGACTGCCAGGTTGATCGCTGTGTAGTACGAATTAAGAATTGCTGGAGTCTGTGATGAACTTTAAATGAAATAAACACATAAATTATAAAATCCACCAGTGTTTTTTTTTTTTTTTTATTCCAATATTTCCTTTAAAAAAATCTCACAGAACAAATGCTCTTAAATTACAGGTTGGATTTTTTTTACAGGTTTTTTACATATCTTTATTGTGGAGTTTATGTCTCTTGTTAATGTGCAATATCTAATGTTTAAATAGCAGGTCTTAATTTTTGGGAAACTGTATTCTTTAAATATATTAGAGAATAGGTTCAATATAAATTAAAACCAGTGCAGTAATTAACATACAAATTGCAATAGCTCCAATTCACATGTTAATTTCTGTGTGATCGGTCTTAATTGTTGTTAGCATCCATCTCCTTTGAAGTAAGATTTATAATCTCAACGACGATTTGTTCCTAAACAGATACAAAGCTGCACTCTGTGTGTAACTTCACAGCCGACATTTATGGATTACCGATTGTGAATCTCCAGAGCCACACAGCAAAGAGAATGTTTTTGTTTGAAAACCTCACACAAACACATACACACACGCACACACACACCCACAAACACATACACACACACACACAACCACAGTCCCCCACACATCCACATCTACCAAGAGTCACTGAATTATTTACAGAATGACTCTGCTTCTTATCACTACTATGAAAGGTTAGTGCTATAAAGAGCCTAGTCGAGGAAAGCAGAGAGAAACTGAGTGCAGTAAGTTAATGTAAAGAGAAATGTGTTGCTCTGTAAAGCTGACTGCAGAGGACGTTGTAGCAGAGGTGTGGGGGTATGAAAATGAAAAAAAGACCTACCAGCAGAACTGCTGGACAGGTGTCAGGGAAAAATATATATATAAGTTCAAGGTGAGAAACGATTTTCAAAAATAGAATCTCTCAAAGGCAATCTGACAAAAACGCAAGCAGAGCAATGCTTTATTTCTCCCCCATTATCTGGATTTTATTTATATTTCAATTATTATCAAATTTTTAAAAAAAAAACTAATAATGAAAGGTACTTAGATTTGCTCTGCAAGAGCAACAATTCACACAACGTTTCAAGAGACGTTTCCCAATGTTTCTGATTGAAGTGTAAACAATCTAAGAACACTAAAAATTTCTTAGGCTAACCATTGCATTTAAAGAAAAAAAGAAAAAAAAAACCTTTTGATTTAAGTTGATACACTGCAGTGTCACTGGGAAATTCTAAACACATTCTTACTGTCTCCACTCCCAGGATTTTTGGAGGTCTGATCCTGGATGTGAAGCGGAAAGCACCCTTCTACTGGAGCGACATCAAGGATTCGCTCAATCTTCAGTGTCTAGCCTCTATTCTTTTTCTCTACTGTGCCTGCATGTCCCCTGTCATCACTTTTGGAGGTCTGCTTGGAGAGGCGACGAAAGGCAACATAGTGAGTCACACAATGAGTCCCTTAAGAGTCAGTTTTACAGGCTTTTCAAGAACCCAGTAAAAAGGAAATCTCCCGGGTTTAAAATCAAAAATGTGTCTAGAGTTTGAACTTCAGTACAGTCTCTGCTTTGTGTCCATACAAAATATATTTAATAAGTCCGCCATCACACTGGATTAAAACCAAACCACAACATTGAAACTCTAAAAGAGCATGGCAGTCTCTACAGGGTTTCAAGATGTCTTCTGGTCTTCATCAAAATGCATTACAACATATCTTGATCCTGGGTGCAGCCTGGTCATCAGATAATTTAAAACCGAGGCTTCGAGCTCGCTACACACTCGCAGGGCTGTAGAGCGGTGTTGGGGAGGGGCATATAATTTGATATAATAATCTTTGTGGCGCAGTTGCAAAGTACATTGCATCCAGTCACTGTTATGGCTCAACAAGTAGCTAAATTGAAAAAGATCATCAAATGATCCACAATCTCTTCGCCAATAAAACCAGTTTTATGTTCAGACCCCTTAAACACAGAATTAGTGTGCGCTAGGTTTCCAGCAGAATCATGCTGGCAACTGTAAAAAGTCGCACACACCTCCAAATTGTGCATAGGTTGATTGTTTGAAAGTTCTTTTTTTTTTTCAAGTCACAAAATCCACCTTTCTTGCTGTTAATTAGAAGTCCAGTTATTGTACTTGAAGACAAGGAGGAAGTGGAGCAGCAGCTAATAGTGTTTCTAATCTGATTTTACGATAGTTGCAACTCATAAAACAACCCACATGTAAACATTCAGGCTGTAGAGACTCAGTGTGATCAGCTCACTGTTATCAGTAGAAACTACTAATTTAGTATTTTTTGCATAACTTCAGACTGCACTTTCTGAGATATAAGGACCATTGCTACATCTGTGCAGAAACCTCTTTCACCTCAATGCTATCATGTTGTCAAGTGTCCAAGTGAGGAAAGTCTGGATGGTAGAAGGTTGAAACTGATGGTGAAGGTGCAAAAACTTGAGAGAATTCTCCAGACGGTGGGGAAGCCTCAAATTATGGTCCTTGTGTTGGCAACATTGTGACATATTTGCCGAGGAAGCAGCATAAAACAAAACTGATGAGTCACTTTCACATTAAAATTTGGTTTTCTAGATTTACTCCTATCTAGCCTCTTTTGAGCTATCCTGGAAACCTTGGGTTGATCATACAAAAAATATTTTAGGTTGTAAAATTATATTTACCGCAGAGTATGTCTCAGTTTACTTAGCTGGACTCTGTCCAGTGCAGTGTTGCTCTCTCCTCTCTTTTTCTTTCCTTCCCTCCCTTTTAGTCGGATGCCCTTACTAGGCCAGCAACTGTTGGCACAGACAGTCTGTCAGCTGATGTGTGTAATGTGTCTGAGTAAACTCAGACACAGGGCAAGAGCAACACAAAGATACGACTTTCGACAAGTCAGCGGCGTGGAAACATTTCAGCTGTCTGCTGAGGCTCTCATGTTCAATTGAAGCTCTCTTTTTTTCTTCTCTGGGTTTCCTTTTTTCTTTTAACCTACTTCCTACGACTTACCCCCAGTTTTTTCCCCCACTGTTTTCTTTCCCTGACTCTGTGTCCCTCTCCTCCGTCTCTGCAGAGTGCAATAGAATCCCTGTTTGGAGCATCGCTGACAGGAGTGGCGTACTCGCTGTTTGCGGGGCAGCCTCTCACAATTCTTGGAAGCACAGGGCCTGTTTTAGTGTTCGAAAAGATCCTCTTCAAGTTCTGCAAGTGAGTTCACATGACAGCAATGGAACTTCATAATTTGTCAACGTGTTTATTGCTTAATACGTTTCGTCAACCTCTATGGTCTTGCTTCCTTCCTTTTCCAGGGATTACGGCCTGTCCTACTTGTCTCTGCGGACCAGCATCGGACTGTGGACGGTGTTCCTGTGCATTTTGCTGGTAGCCACGGACGCAAGCTCCCTGGTCTGCTACATCACCCGCTTCACAGAGGAGGCCTTCGCAGCCCTCATCTGCATAATCTTCATCTACGAGGCTCTGGAGAAGCTCTTTCACCTCGGAGAATATTACCCTGTCAACATGCACAACAGTTTAGACAATCTGACTTTTTACTCGTGAGTATTAATATTATGTTCATTGTCTGAATGTTTTTGTTTTCTGCTTGTAGACTTTCCAAAGAATGCGTTTTAAGTTTTTCTCCAACTAAATCTTTGCAGTCCGGTATCGGTTTATGCATTTAGTCGTCTCAAGACAAACCGGTAAAATTCCTATCCATTATTTAGATTATAAAATCAATTCAATTTATACAGATGATATCTAATGGTTACAGACAGAAGCAGATTTACATACACTCAGAGTTGTACCTCAGTCCAGTCCAACTCAGTTGATCATATGCCAGTTGTTTAATTGTAATCTATTTTTGAAGGCTAAGCAGGCCATGCCAATCCCTTCTCCTTAATAGCCACGTTCAGTGGAATCAGTTTACTATTTTACTGTTGGTTCTGTTGTTCCCAGGTGTCAGTGCTCTCCACCAGCCAATGCGTCCGATCAGCTCTTGCAGCACTGGAACCTAACAGGGTACAACAGCTCAGACTTTATCCCATGGAGCAACCTCAACGTTTCGGTGAGACTGCCTCCTAGCGACCTCTGGTGGGAAAATCCGTATTTGCAGCCTCAGAGAGACCGCAAATACGGATTGGCAAAAGATGGAGAACAGACTTACTTTCTACTTTGATCTAGACTCTTGTTTGAATGTTTTCTTATCTGGGTGAAATATTTTAAAAGAGGTATAATGAGATAAAAGCCAACTATAACAACGAACAGTTAATGAACACAGGATGTCACATTACTTGTCTATCATATTCTTTTGTTCCAATGAAAATATTGTTCAGTTCACTAGCTTAACAGATGTAGTAGCTACCATCCAATAAAATAGCAGAAATCAATCACAGTACTGAGCCATATACGTTACTAAAATGATTTAGCTTTTTTAATTTTTTTTACCTAAATTTCACAATAAGTAGTAAGATTTTAGACCTGAAGAAATGCTACAAAGACAAATATTTCTGGCACTTAAAGCAGAAGAAACTCTGGACATTTATCTGTTTTAATGGATTTTTTTTTTAAACGACGCTCAATTTGGAGCAGTTTAATATCTTAGCAATTTAACCACTTTAAGCTTTATGGCAGTTTCTGTTGTGAATTATAATGCACATCAGTCAACACACAGAGACAGACTGTCTCGAAAAGCATCACCACATGTCTGTTTTACTTACTAGTAACCATTTACCAATGCATTACATTTTAAATTGTTGTGTGCTGCTGAACGTTAATGGGAAAAAAAAGTTCAAAAAAATTGTGAGGATGAACAGGTGAAGCAAATAACAGAATAAATCTTCATCGTTGCACCTACCAGCGGGTGGGTTGTATTGGTACCAAAGAGAACATTTTGTTTTCAAAGTCGATGTGTTAGAAGCAAAAAAGTCCAAAGATTTATTGAGTTTGACAGGGGGCAAGTTGTAACGACCACACTAGTAGGTCAGAGCATCTGTAGTGGCAGGACTCTGGGGATTTGCACACATGGGGTTCAGGAAGTGGATTCAAAACAACGCAGTGAGCTGCATGCAGTTTCCCCCGAGTATACCGAAGAATCACAACGAGAAGTGCTGCCAGCCAAACAGCTGAGGCTCCAAATGAAAATCGACAGACACCCAAAGCTAGCTAACATGCACCAAAACATTTCCAATGTCCAAAATTACGTTTCCTGTTATTTTTGTTTTTGCTCATGTGGAAATCACTTAGCAGACCCTTTCCTCCCCCATGAAGAACTCTGGCGCCCCCTAGGGGAGGTGTACGCCACACTTTGAAAAGCCCCGACTAAAAATATATCTAACCTACCTGAACAACATTTTTAAGCTGCACAGTGTTCCTAAAGCTGCTGGCAACATTAGTCAAAACAAAAATATCTCCCACGTTGCAACAGTAATTATATTCTCCTTTCCTCTAGATGTGTAAATTGCTTGACGGGGAGTTTGTGGGTCCTGCCTGTGGTCACCATGGTCCTTACATCCCAGACGTTCTTTTCTGGTCCATTATCCTCTTTTTCACCACCTTCTTTTTATCATCGTTCCTCAAGCAGTTTAAGACGGAGAGATACTTCCCCACAAAGGTGAGATGTTTGTTTTTGGGCACTGTAGAAAACGTGATAAATTCGTCATGTACAGTCATATTCAGTATAGTAGAATATGTGCTCAAATGAGACCAGTTCGTCTGCAGGCATTACACATACTTTTCATCTGAAAATTTATTTATATTTTTCCTAATCTTTAATGTTGTGTTTTAATTTGCTGTAAGCATAAAATCATCATCATTTAGCTGAAACAAAGGCTTAAAAACGTCAGTCACTAAATCACTTAGCAGATTGAGTTACTGTATTGGTTACTATTAAAAAGAAAACACAGATACAAAGAAAAATCTATGTTTCTCCTGTAGAAACATGTAGAAACATACATTGTGGGTGGTTGTACCTACAAAGTTTTCACGGTTCTGTAAATGTTTACATTTCATCAGTTATTATGATGCCTCAGCAGCTCTATGTGCTGAAGGAACAGAGCATCCTCCCACGCACAGCATCTAGCCTGTTATCACTTGGTGTGGGCAGATGTTGGCATTGTGTGATTTTCACTGTTGACAGAAGTATAATTATTACTTCTGTGTGTCTGCAGAAAGAGTGTGCTTGAAGTAAAGTAGGTTTAAATTATGTTTTATAATTAAATCACCCCTTCTGGATGTGTGTGTGTGTGTACGTGTGTGTGCGTGTGCGTGTGCGCTTACCTCGCAGGTGCGTTCCACCATCAGTGATTTCGCCGTGTTTTTAACCATAATGATTATGGTGCTTGTGGATTATCTGATGGGGATTCCGAGTCCTAAACTGCACGTCCCGGATCGCTTCGAGGTTAACATTACATTATCATTTTTACTCCATTTTGTTTAAGACAATGTTTAAGCTTCACGCCTTGTGAGCTAAGTGAAACCATCATTTTTCCTCTGTAGCCAACATCAAAGCACAGAGGCTGGCTGATGGATCCATTAGGAGAAAACCCCTGGTGGACGCTGCTGGTGGCAGCGGTTCCTGCTTTACTCTGCACAATCCTCATCTTTATGGACCAGCAGATCACTGCAGTCATCATCAACCGCAAGGAGCACAAGCTGAAGGTTAGACCTGACTTATAAAAGAATGACTCCTTTATATACATATATATGCATATATTTTTTTTATTTTAATGTTGGTTAAACACCAACACAATTACCATATTTTCCAGACTATAAATTGCTCCAGAGTGTTGCATCAGTCGACAAACGAAGAGGAAAAAACATTCAAGTCACCCTGAACTATAAGTTGCATTAATTTAGAAAGTGGCCATGTTAAATGATATAATCCGGTGACCGTTGACCTTGGCTTGGATGTTTGCTGGTGCACCGATGTCCGAGCACCGCATAGCGAGGCAGACAATGCAGCGTAAAAATTACATGAAGCATTACATGAGGAAGGCCCGAAAGCAAAGTAATTTATATTCATCTCCTTGGCAACAGTTGGGACGTGCAGACGTAACTGCACTGTTGACAAACCTCTCCCGGCAACACGTTTTTTTTTTATGCACCCAGCTGTGGACTCCTTTCTTCAGCTCAGGCTGTCTTTCTTTCATCCTGCAATTAGCTGTCTTTGTGGGAGCAGACGGTAATGTTTCGTCCTTGGTTCATGTCCAACAGTATGAATTGACATTCGACGCATCAGTCAAGAAATGCTTCACGAAGAGGGGGAAAAAAAAAAAAATGTAAATAAGTCGCACCTGACTGTAAGTAGCAGGACGAGCCTAACTGTGAAAACGTGCAAAACGTATAATCCGGAAAATACGGTATGTGGCTGTGCAGCAAGAATCCAATGTATTGCAAACGTGAATGCTCTTGAATCTAAAATAAGCAAACATCATATGGCCCAGAGACTTACACACACTATAACGTACTGTAAAATGTGTATGTCAGACTCGCTGTCATCTACGGTTTGTCATATAATTCAACACTTTCCTTTTTCTCCTACAGAAAGGATGTGGTTATCACCTGGATCTCCTTATAGTAGCAATAATGCTGGGTGTGTGCTCCATTATGGGCTTGCCGTGGTTCGTGGCTGCGACCGTCTTGTCCATCTCCCATGTGAACAGCCTGAAGGTGGAGTCCGGCTGCTCGGCGCCGGGAGAACAGCCCAAGTTTCTGGGCATTCGTGAGCAGCGGGTCACTGGCTTCATGATCTTCACCCTCATGGGCTGCTCTGTTTTCATGACCTCAGTGCTGAAGGTGAGATCGGCGGAATAATGTTTTATTTCATTGTACAGGGAATTGGTTGGATGCAAGTCGTATTACGAATGTTTTTAAAGTTTTCTGCATTTTATGACTAAATATAAGTTCATTAATTCATACATGTGATGTGTGGCTTTTTACAGTTTATTCCCATGCCTGTTCTGTATGGAGTTTTTCTCTACATGGGTGTCTCTTCCCTCAAAGACATTCAGGCAAGATTCTGCTCCTCCAGTGTTTTATTAAAGATCTGTCTGCCTTTTTTTTTTTTTTTTTTTTACATGTAATAGCAGTTAAATTTTTGTATGTCCGTGTTTCTCTTGTCTTAACACAAGCATTTATCAGTGGCTTTGTATTTTTTTTTTCTCCTTAGTTCTTTGACAGAATCAAATTGTTTGGCATGCCTGCAAAGCACCAGCCCGATCTGATCTACCTGCGCTACGTGCCGCTGTGGAAGGTTCATGTGTTCACGCTAGTGCAGCTCACCTGTCTGGTGTTGCTGTGGGTCATAAAAGCCTCTGCAGCAGCTGTCGTGTTTCCCATGATGGTAATTGTTTGATCACGTTTGGAGTCGTTGTTTTAAACCTGAACTAAAATGACACACTGACGGCTTACTGTGACTGTGTGGCTGGGTAGGTTATATTTAATTTATTTAGCTTTTTTTCTTTTCTTTTTTTTTTTAGCATGAAAGGCCAACTGAATAAACATAAACGTTACGGCATTAATTTCATTGTGATCTACTGACATTGGATCAAACAAATGTTCACACTGCTGTCAAAAAGCCAGGATTTTGTATTGTTAAAAAGATGAAACCGCAATTACTTTGAATTTGTAACATGGCAGATCAATCGCTGTTAATTAAGAATTTTGTCAAACAATTATTTTCGATATTTAGAGCATACTTCCTAGACTACATTCAGTTTATTTCTTGCATATTTCTCCTCTGCAGGTTTTGGCTCTTGTGTTTATTCGAAAGCTTCTGGACCTTTTGTTTACTAAAAGAGAGTTGAGTTGGCTGGATGACCTGATGCCAGAAAGCAAGAAGAAGACAGAGGATGACAAGAAAAAGAAAGCACAAGAAAAGCTGGTGAATTAATTTATATGGCTGTTTTCTGTGGGAATCGATTACTCTAAGTCGTATAAATATATAAAGACAGATGTTGCAAAATGATCAGCCTAGGCATTTCATGTTGCTATTAAGTATTTAACTACTCAGCAACAAATCCAACCATTTAGATTATGCAACTTTATTTTCAGATTTCTATTGTTATCCAAATAAACCTAGTAATGGCCATGGAATCAGTGTCATACCTAGACTTTTATATCAAAAGTATGTAAAATGAACCTCAAAGCAGGAAATTGTTGTCACTTTAAGAAATAAAACGGCAAATCCTGGCAATGACTGTTTTGAAATGAATGGTTACAGCACTGTTTGCTTAAGGAGGAAGAATCTCGACTGGAGGAGGAAGAAGAGCGGAAGATGAAGGTTCACTTTGAAGGCTCAAACCGGTTGAACATCCCAGTGAGCTCGTTCTCAGGAAGGTGAGCCTTGCCGTCCCTAAATAGTCTTGCTCGTAATCAAATGCTTTACGTTACGACAATAACTTCATTGTGATCTGCTGTCAGTGGATCAAACAAATGTTCACACTGCTGTCAAAAAGCCTGGATTTTGTAATGTTAAAAATGCAGTAAATTGTTCAAAAATGTTTTTTTTTTTCATCTGTTATGTGGCATAGATCCTGTACAATTACAAAAATGTGACACATTGTGGAGAAAATGATTGAAAACACAAAACATGAAGTCGTCATTGAGGCTGCTATGATTCCAACAGAATCCAGGAAGAACTTCTGACAACAACTTCCTGTTCCGCTTCTGACAAAATCCTTTTGACTTAAGAAATATAAAGAGAAGCTCAGAAAAAATCTGCACCTAGAGGACTTACCTGTTATGATTTGATAAAACTAAACTTCAGCTTTTGAGCCACCGTTTCTAAATTTGTATTTACGCAAGTATTCATTTAGGAACATATCTGCAGTAAAGGCATATGGTGTTGGCAGCAAAGTCTATGTGCAATTTTATTGTGTTGTTTTGTCAGTGCGGGTGGAATTATGCACAATTTCAAATATCAGTCAATTTTGACCTGATGTCTTCAGACTAAACTTACGTAATAATAAAAATAAACAGGATTTGGGATCGTTGATCAGAATGTAGAACTAAATCAAAATCAAATTTAAAAAATGCTTAATTGATCCCAACGGGAAATTAAACGATGTTGTGACTCAAATCATTCAAGATTCTTCAAAGAGTTGTTGTCCACCTAAACATCTGTGAAATCACCTGAAGAAGTCTGTGGACAAGAGACGTTACCTCAATCTGAGGGATTTGGGGACGTTTTGTAAGGTGTTTTTACAGTTTGTTTGTTAATACATTTGTTTGGTTTGAATTATTTAAATGTACAGGACATTTGTCACAGAAACTACGGAAAACGTTTTGACCCAACTTATTGAGGTGTCGTTTTGTTTGGTATTTACTCTTTTAATCACACTACAGCGTTTCATCACAGTCACAACTGGTGTGATTTATTTATGTGATATTATGAAGGAAATGGATTAAAATACTTCATGATCCCCACAGAATGTTGTTTTCCCAGAAGAATTGATTTCCAGTTGCATCATGTTGCGTTGTACGACTTCAGTTGGTCATCTGTAGAGCTGTGTGTCATTATGTCCATCTCAAACAGATCATACAGAATAGGAGTAGTGACCGAAAGCCTCCAATGGAAGAACAGGTAGCAGGGCTGAGCGTCTGATGCAAAACATCTGAGCCACATGGCTGCATATTAACTCTGGTTATCCATACTGGCATGGCACAAATGTCACTATGTTGCTAATCTAAAAAAAAAAAAAATAAAAAAAATAAAAATAATAATAATAAGATGCTTTATTTTTTTTAAGGTTAAATACTTTCTGTTGAAATGTTTTGCTTTCAGAAGATTTAACTTTTACTTACTTTAGGAATCTAAACACCAACAGCTGTTGAACAAGTAGTTCTTGCTTAAAATGCAAACATTTCTTTCTGTGCGTTAATCTGGAATGTTCTGGTCGTGATCCGTCTTCCTGTGCCGCAGTTTGTTTTCTAACCCCCATAATTTCCGTGCATGCTTGTGTCTGCGTGTTTGAAGGACTGTTCTGCTCTCATCCTGACTCACTCAAATGTCCACATGCCTGTCTCTCTCTTTGTGTTTTATGTTTGCATTTTGGCACGTAGTTCTGATTCTGACGCCTTGGTTGTAAATATCTCTGATGAAATGGTCCAAACCGCAGTGTGGAAAGCAGTGAACTCGAGTGCAGAGTTCTGTGTCCAACCTGTGAGGCGTTCAGGAAGGTAGCTATGCCATCTCCTGCAGTTTTCCCAGAGCCTCCCGTCAGTGCAATGAGATTAGTTTGTTACTTTTCCGACGCATGTTTATGACTCTGTCGGATCACGATGTCGACACGGAGACGAACAAACCTAATCCGAGTCTCAAAACTGTACAGACCCCTGCTAACATGTCAGGGTTTGTTATACAATTTTTTTTTTTTTACATTTTTCTCCTTTGTTGTAACGTTTATTCCTCACAGTTCTGCCAAAGCAGAAAACAAAAAAAAAAAAAAAATCTCTATATAAAAAATAAAAATGATCCACATTCTTAAATTACTTTTAGAAGTAAGACATTTTTTGATTTAAAATTAGTCTTTAGTCCTGTTAAGGTACACGCCTCACATCAGTTATAGAGAATGTGATAAGCCTGAAATGTAGTTCATTTGCATAAATAACTATACATGCAAAAACGGAGCTCCAACAGTATGGCAGTCATAAGTTGAACACAATATTTTTACATTTTGTGACAATGCTGTTATGGTTCAATATTGTGATTTCCTCCTTTTGTTATCTGGCCTTGGGCACAGAGGCTCCACCTGATAGACTGAATATTTTACAATAGTATGCAAAATATGTCCTGATGACATTTTAAATATGAATGCTGCATTCCAAGCAATGCCTTATAACAGTCTTATTCCAATAGTTATATATTTTTCTCCAGGTCTAGACAACAGTGAGGTTACAAAAACAACAAGAAACAGACGCAGCTATATGAACTTTTGTGAAACTAGTTTTGTTCTACAGGTGACATTAATGCCGTGTTTTCTGTCTTATGATGCCGTCAAACAGAGACGTGTGGCTAAAACGTGCTATAGGCAGACATTTCCAATGTGGATTTGACTTAAAATAATCCCAGAAAAACACAGTTTCCACAGGAAAATAGTTCCAGTATCATGACCAGAATTGCCTTTCTTCAGGTGGAGCTGGAGGTTTTGCCAATGTGAATGAAATTACTAACCTAAACAACTCAGCTGTTTGCTAGAAAGGTGACAAAGGGATATTCAGCATCCCTGTTGAAAGGAAAATTCCAGTTTTGGACTAACTTTGCCTGAATCCAAAGCTAAATCCAACAGTAAGGACTCACCCAAAGAGGGTTGTGAACAAGAGACATCTAATAGATTTCTGGTAGACAGTTTTGCAAGGTATTATGGGTAAGTCTTAATATAAAATTGGGTTATTGTTGCTTTTGCGTTTAGTTTTCTTTTCCTTCTACGAGATTTTTTTTTTTGTTATTCTTATAAATCTATTTAAACGTGGAGCATTTTTTTTAAAACTATCATAGTTTGATATTTTTACTCACAAATGCCTGGAATTTAACATGGGTGTGTAGAGTTTTGAAAGTTTAACTTCACAATTGACTTTAAATTTTTTCAGAACTATAGTTAAACAGAGTCATAAACATAGTCACCATAAATGAAGAATAAAAGCACTGAACAGACGGAAAATACTGAGAAGGTTTAGACTCCCAGAAGAATTGGGAGACGTTAAACTGAAACATAGCAGAATGCTTTGTGATCATGTTTTTAAAAATTATAGAAAAAAATCTCAGAAATATTTTTTAGTTGTTGTACATGTATATCAACAAATAAATTAAGTGTCTATGTCAAACCGTTTTCTGTTTCGCGATAGGAAAGGCTTAGTTGTTACAGTCTTGAGTCCCTAAGTTGACCGATCTAAATGTGTAATGTGTCATCTCCTGTTGTGGCCACAAGTTTTAACCTTGACAGAAATGTCTTCACTTCAGTTTCTTCATATTCTGCTTTAAAACTGCTTCTATTGTTGTGCATTATTTCACACCTAATTTCTCCAATGACACCAAATTTCAGTGTAACTTCTCTAGCACAGGCCAACCTGTCATCTAGTTAAGATCATTTCATCAACTTCTGCAGCAAACTCTGATTGCTCTACAAAAGGACAGATGTGCTGGAAGTTATTGTATTCTTGTGAAAAGTGTGCAGGCGGATGCAAGAAACGGCTGCTAATGATATTTTACTCAAAAGGTTTTCTAAATCGCTGAAAACTCAAGGTGAGATGTTTGATAGTCAAGAAAACTGTACGGGCTTTCAGAGTGCCCAGCAAGGGCCAGAATTATGTCCTGTTATCTTAAAACGCTGTTACTTCCTGTCCAGAGCTTGTTCAACATTGGTAGCAGGTGGATTTGAGAGCATTTGCAGAGACAGTACAGTGAAGAATTTTGGATAAAAGCCTTGTTGCAAGAAGGACAGACAGCGCATGACACCTAAAATCTGCAGGAAGTTCTAACTACTAGCAAGGCTACTGGTGAGGAATCTTCCTTTTGAATATTTGCAAATTTGGAAAATCTTTTTGTCACTAACAGAGAAAGAGAGAGAAATGTAAACACCTTTTAAGAGTAACTCCAGTGAGAGCCTGTAGTGCTTAAGATCAGTGCCTAAGCACTAAAGAGGTATAAATGGGACCCATCTGGGAGGGGTTTGGCCCAGAAGTCGATCTGCAGCTTGTTTCAGCGGATTATAGATGCAAACACAAAGAAAAGTCAACATTATAAATGTTGACTCTTCACAGAAATTTGGTGGATTTTTTGTAAAACTAATGAAACTACTCATTAGTGAATCCTCAGTGTGTAATAGAATTTGTTTGAAACCATCAAACACATTTCTGTCACTAAGAAAACTTTTCATTTTGACTGTAAGTAAGTGGTTTCCAGTCTGTTGTTATAGTAGGACTTGAAGCGTAACGTCAACTATAAATCTGCACCGTTTTAGCTCCTGTACGGATTTAAATTTGGCCATTCATATGCAGTAAAACACCTCAGACCTTCTGGAACTTTGTTTAGCCAGAACTCTGGAACTGGAAGCTGCTGTCTTACATGGTACCATGGTACTAGTATCCTTGAAGTAGTATTACTGGTAATTGAGACACTTAGCTACCCAGTAACTGCCTTTAACTACACAAATCTACATGCAAGTGCTCATCCTGTTCTTCTTTCTTCGCCTCTGAACAGCCAAGAGAAGGTGGCCTGTGTTAGAGTTGATGTCAGCCCGGATTCACCAGGAGAGGGCTCCACCACAGAAACCTTCCTGTGATAAAGGAAGGCTCACCTTCGTCTCCAGAGCCCTCAGCACTTTCCTGCTCAGACGGTGCCTCGTCATCAGGGCAAAGAGCAAAATTGAACTGGAGCAGCACAACCCAACTGCGGGGAAACAGACAAGCTCCCACAAAATGCCCAGAGTCCTACATGTTCATCAAATGTGCCACGGTGCACATCGTATCAAACATCTAGAAGAAATATCAAGAAATTATGACGTTCATCCTTCTTTTAGGGATTCTCTAAAGCTTACCAGTTCTTCTAGAATATTTGAAACGCAGATGCCAAAGGAAGGCCCTTTTTTTTTTCTTCTTTTTTTTTCAGTCAAGATCTGACAATTTTATTTTATTCGTTGTCTGGTTGTAAACTTAGCTTTTTACCCAGTGAGAGAACTGTACACGTTTTGTTTTACCTCATTTTTTTTTTTTTTTTTATGGAACAACAGCTCCAGTGTTTATTTAACAAACAGTGATGCACCATGAACCAGAATCAGGTCATTTTCAGTTCAATCAACGCTAAATAGCGACCGGCGAGTCAGACGCTCTTAATTCTAATCTTTTAACAGTTAGTGAACGCACCATATGTAAACACTATGACTTCCTCTTTAGAAAAGAACAACAAAAAGCTTAAAACACTTTCCTAAGGAAGCTATTCCATCTACAGAAATATGTTGGCTGATCATTCTGGGCTGCCATGAGAGAACAAGACTTTCATCAGATAACAGGAAGGTGGAATGTATTGGAGCCACGTTAAGCTGTTTTTTTTCCTTGAGTTTTCAACTTCTTTCTGTGGGGTGTTTAAAAATGAAGTCAGAGGAAGCACACAGATTCAAGAAGCTTTTTGAAATATTGTATTTTACCACATGCCTAGACATTTCTGTGGCTTATTCTGGCTACGAGAAAGAGCAAGACTTTCAGCATATAGCAGGAAAGTTGAACAAAGTACAGCAATGGTGGTCTGTTTTACCCTTTTTTGGGTTTACAGCATCTGTCTGTCATGAAATACGATTGTATCTGGAAGTAACATAGAAAATACACAGGAGACTGCTGTTTTAGTGACGCTAGCCATGCTAGCTTTGGCTAATAAACTTAAAACAGTTTAAAATATCAACTCTGTAGTCTTGTTTTACAGGGATTCCTCTCTCATTGCAGCTGTTGTATCTTCTTATATCAGTTCTGTAAACAAAAGTGGAATCTGCGCAAATCGGCTTCAGCAGATCAGAGATCAGAAACCGACTGCAAAACTCTGACCGGGTGCATCGCTTAACAAAAGCCATCAAGGTGCTGTCTTTTCAATTCATCCTAAAGATAATTAGACTTCTATTGCACCATGACTTTGCACTGTAAGACCTTTGGATTTACTCAGAAACCATCTCTCCTGTGTCCGTGGGGACACGCAGTGTTTGATATTGCTGCTCTGAAGTTGGTCACTTGTTTTCACTGTTCAGCTCACAGAACATCGTAGTGGATGTTAGTACTTTATCTGTTTGTGTGCTGTACTCTTCATCTGTGTTATTGTAGAAAAGAGGCCATATGAAGTCTGTACTGTACAGGAAGCACTTTGACTGTAAACTTGATGACTTAAAGCAGATTACCTTGTTTAACTTTCTTTCATATAATTTTTTAGAGATGTACAACTACAATTTGAGATTGGTAAAAGATTTTAGTCTCTTTTTTTGTGTCAGAAGGCAGTGATAACTACTTGGTCTCTGCTTTTCTGTCATCGCTGGCATCATAAATATTTTAACAAGTAATAAAAATCTGTCAAGGTGCAAAATAAAGAACAGAGTATTTGTGGACGGCAGTTATAGTTGCACTTGTTTTTATACTGTCTGTATTATTGTGAATACCAACCGTGTGTTGTATGAAATGTCTAGCGTTTAAAATGGTTTTATGCAAAATATTTTTACTGTACATGTAAAAACGGTTATTGTAGGAACTTGATTTTATTTCTATTTTATTTTTTTATGTTTTTTTTTGTTTTGTTTTTTTGCAAAGTGCAGTCCTGTTTTAGCAATAAATATTCTCCACCAATCAACGTTTGGAGTCCCGGACTCCTCAAATATTCTGACCAAGAATATTTTTCCCTGCAACATTTTGTGCGTCTGTTCCCACGGGCTCCGTGTGTAGCGACTCTGCAAACGACCGTTTATGGTGCCTTGTTGATGATGCTCTTAATGTGCATAGCGTTGTGTACTGGCTCATGTGACGGCGCACAGATTCCAGAAAGGGGCCGTCGCATCCACCACGCCGCCGCGTCCGTCGTGTTCTTCCACGTCAACATGGACTTCTGTCTGTTTTCCATCTGAAATGTAACTAAACGACGTGTTTCTGTGTCACAGCTCTAGTGTGTGCTCGCCACCAAAATAAAAACAAAATGTTAAACTGGAGTTTATTTACATAATCGGTGAATGTTAATTATCGTGGTGTCAGTGTCAAATATAAATGTGTATATTTAATTATTTTGCAGAAAATTAGACCTGTCGAGTACTTTCAGAATTATATAGATTGTGTAAATTACGAAAGACCCTATTTTCACAGGATCACTAATCAGAATGTATGAATCTGAATGAAAAGTCTCCTATGGGAAGTGATGTCTAGCCACCTAAATCACTTAGTAAAGATGTATTTCTACTGATGTACAGATCATCAGTTATGTTTGCTGACTTCTTCTGTCATGGCTGATTGTTGCAAAGCAATAAAATGAACTCTTGGGGATTTCTTTCTGTCGTTCTTTAATCCTGCATGCTAGCTGCTGTCAAACCCTATATGAGGTGGATTGGTTGTAGTTGGGGGTGGGGAAAGTTTTTGAATGATCTTTGTGGCGGTTGTGAAATCTGAAATCATTTATTTATTTATTTATTTTTTTTACAATGCCACTTTTTTATCCATTCAATTCTCCTTTATTTTGGTTCCCATCTACATGAACAAAGTATGCTCTATAACCAAATGTGAGATCGTTGATCTATCAGCTGTAGCTTTGTCCAAACCATCGCAAAATCTACAGCAGAATGATTGAAAAAGTAAAGCACCAAGGAGTCTAAACAGCCCAAAGTCTGTAATTGAACCTAAGTGTTCCCCCCTCAGCATACCGAAGGAACGTTTTAAAGTTGGGCAAAGGGCATTACCGTTAAGGGTGGTTATCTTATTGGCCTTTATTCCCAATAAAAATCCATGTGTATTATTATTTCTTAGTAGACCGGTTATCAGAGAGCATGTTTCATTTCAAGGATTTGTTTTTTTTTAACAAATGGTTTCCAGCCTGAGCTCTGGCAGACATTTTTATAAACAGGAGTTATTCCAGAACAAATGCGATAGGGGGCAGCAGAGACCCACGTTACACATAATAATGGCACGCCGCCTTACTGCGTAAGACTTAAAGTCCTTTCATACTGTAAAGGTCCGATCCTTTTATTTGAGATGACAGCATCCTAAAGAATCAAGCCCAACTTTTAGTGTGGCTTTGTGTGTTTTTGTTTTGACCCAGTCGGTCAGCACTCGGTCAGGTGTTACAGGTACAGTGGGTGGGAATTACTTGGTTCAAGAAATTTGAATAATTTTTCCATCCGACTCGATCGTAAAACGTGATTAACGTCCGTTATCCTCCAGTAACATGTTTAATAATGAGCGTCAGCACACGCCGTACCTGTAAACGCTGGAGGAAATTAAGTCAGACCTTCTCTGCTTTTTCAGCTGAAAACTTGAAATTCTGAGAAATGTGAAGGACACAGTTTGACGTGTTACAAAACAGAAACACATACGAGAGAAATAAATGACTAGAATCCTCAGCAGCTTCAGAATAAAGGTTGAACATGTCGGTGTAATCATTGGTTGATATATGTGTGCATTGGCTTGAAAGGAAATTATGATTCATGCAGGTGACAATAGAATGTCATATAGGGCAATTCATCTCATCTGTTCCTTAAATAGAAAGATTTTTAGGCTCATTTGAATGTAATGATTTACAAATAAACTGAATTCAATTAATGCAATTCAAAAAAACTGTAACACGCTGAAATTGTGTTTTTTTTTTCCAAAGCTAATTTATGGCTATTTTAATGACTAAGTCTTAGTTAATGGCATTTACTAAAGTCCAGTGTCTTAAGAGTATTTGACTAGTAGTTAAAACCCTTTTTAATACACAGTCATGTTGAAGCCAGAGGGTATAAACTACTAAGCAGTGCTGGTAAAGCAGCTGAGCTCAGCAATCTGTGTTCATGAATATTAATGGAAAGCTGAGTGAAAGAAAAAAAGTTGCACGGGTAGTCGTGGTAACAGCACTCTGTAGAGAAATGCGAAGCAAAGCCCATTAAAGAGCAAGGCATGGTGGACTGCAGCAATGTCAGTGCATTAAAATCCAGCACATGTACTTTGACTAGGACAGGCTTAGTCCAAATTGTCTCCATTTGGACTAAGGAGACAGTGGACTGGGCTCAGTGGTTTAACATCCTCTTTTCAGATAAATATTAACTTTACATTTCATTTGGAGGGCAGCATAGTGGGGCAGCGGTTTGAATGTTTTCCACGAGCTTCTCACCAAGTTCTCCCTCAAGCCACATGCATCCAGCTTGTCCACATTAAAGAAAGAATAAAGATAATGGAGTGCTGGATTTCTAGTTTTTCTTACTCTAAATTCCTCTTAGGAATAAATGGGTGTGCACATGGTTGTTTGTGCTGCCCATGGTGTTCTCCGCCTGTTGTCCAGCGACTACTGGGGCTAGACGCCAGCAGCGTTAAAAGTTATTTTTGATTACATTTGATTTTTCTGAGAAACTGAATTTAGGGTTTTCGCTAGCTGTGGAAAAACATCTGATGACTTTATGCTCGTCACTTTAAGATCAGAACAAAAAACCAGCCAGTCAGTGTGTTGACATGTTGCCTATTTAGTGACAACTGGGAGAAAATGAAGCATACCCATTAAATCACAAGACAACATTACACCAGGTGCAGTTTTAGTAAACAGGAATATAATTCTTAGTTGACAAGTGAGTAGTAACATCAGCAGTTATTTAAAAAAAAAAAAAAATGAATTCTGCGTTTGGCAGTGAATAATTTAAATGTAGGAACATTTTCATACAAAGTAAATGTCCTGTCATTGAAAAAAAAAAACTGATATTTTGCTACTCATTAATGATAAACCTTTGATTTTTCTTTTTTGTTTTAAAGTCAACTTTGTAAAGAAATAAACCAGAAGCCAGCCATCCCACATCTCTGACATGTTTCTTAAACTTTCCAACCAAACTCGCTTCTCTCTGTCAGTATACAACAGATACTACATTACCCATAATCCATCACAGAAATTAAACTTCTGTATACTAAAGTGACCATTTTCAACTGCATTCTTTCACTACGACCACCATTTCCACGATTAAGCAGCTTTAAAAAAAAAAAAAAAAAAAAAAAAAAAAAAAAAAATTTTTCCTCTTTTTGTGGGGGT